TCATACCATAAAGTAAAAAACAAAAATTAAACAACATCAGACCAAAACGTGGCTGTCATTGTAAGACTGAAACTAATAAATTGGGAATAACTTAGGAACAGTAAATCATGTAGTAGTAGTCGATTAGTCAAATAAAAGCTTACAATAAAAATAATATACATATATTCAGTCTAGGCACATAACAGCTATATAACAAGAGTATTCATATTGTTATAACTTGTGGCTATGTGCCTTGTTAATATACGACGTAATGGTACTACCAACTAGAGAACAGTGAATTATCGACCGAACAAATAATGCATAAAACTTGTATAAACAGCCTACAGTTTTTATCGGTCCTTCTTCGTGTCTAGCCCTGTCTGGTAAGTCCAGAACACCAGTCTCAGCCTCTGTGACATGAGCTATGTATTTGAAACATACTGGGTTTATATACGAACAAAACAGAACGCGTCGTACCAAAAAATATAAAATAGAATTTGTACAAGATCTAGCCAAAATTGGCTATGAACGTGGGAGACTGTAATTAATAGTCTGGGAGTAACTCAAGAACGGTAAATAGTATAACAATAATTTATAGGTCAAAATAATCCTTGCAACAAGAGGAGCACAAGTAAACACAATCTAGCTACTGAATAGTTATACATTAAGAATATACGTATAATATTTGTCCATAAATAGTTCTCAAAAGTTACCATTCATAATTCTAACTGGGATATAGCACATTATAGCAGTTCATAAATCATTCCCAGAAGTTACACATAATTTAATCCTAGTTACGATATAACAACATTAGACCAGTATTCATTAAACGTACATGATTCTTAAGATGAGACTGTTATGTACATGGATGCAGAATTTCGATGCAGTTACGAATAGCCAAATATACTAGTTTTTCTTAACAGCTATTACAACTTATTCATTGATGAGAAAAGTGCCGTGAATTTTAAGCAACTTTTAAATATAAAGATTACGAGGCACTGATTACCACAAAACATCTTCAGGATTATAATGAATCTGATCCAAAGTCAAAATGAAATCCCTATGTCACCTTTGGCTGATTTTTGGTACTTTCTTAAAGCGTTTAATTGTTAGGAACAAACTACTTTACAAGAAGAGCTATGTAGTTGTGGATATACCAAAGACGGATAAGAAGACGGAAGCTTACAACTTCAGGTAATTTTCCCATTTTCCTGTTATGGTGAAGGTCAGGGATTGCATTTTACACGGTTCATCAAAAAGTCAGAAGCTTTTGAAAACTCTTCTGTCACTTGATAGGGCATACAGGGCACCGATAGTCCTTTAACTGTCTGGAGTAGTCTGACATTCAACGGAGTATGAATATCTTGCGCATATGCAGACATACATGCTTACCCGCTTTTTGGGTTCCCATGACATTGAACGTAAATTTTACTTACTTATTACTTACACCTGTTAATCCTCGAGGGGAGGATCATAGGCTGCCCATCAGCAATCCCCATCCAAAGATGTCTTGGGCAATCCCTTCCGATTTTCTCCAATTGTTATTCATCCTTATCATGTTTGCTTCTAATTACTGATTCAGTGTTCTTCAGCCTCCCACTTCTTCGGTCCCCTTTAGGATTCCAAGTTATGGCTCGCCTCGTGATGCAGTTGGATGATTTACTAAATATACATCTTATCCACTTTCAACGTATTTTCCTAATTTCCACTTCACCTGGAAGCTGGTTTGTTCCCAAGGTAGACTGTTGAAGATGGTACCCGGACAACGGGCATTCAGTACCTTGCGTAGATAATTGTTTATAAATACTTGTACGCTTTTGATGCTGATTGTGGTAGTTCTACAAGTCTAAGCTCCGTATAATATAACTGTCATGACGTTTGTATTGATGATTCTCACTCTGATGTCGACTGACAGCCGTTTACAGTTTCATACGTTCTTCAGTTGTGGGAATGCGGCTCTCGCTTTGCCAATCCTTAACGCCCATCGATGATGTTGTCCATGTACGTGAAAGTCTATCAGGATATGGCTTAATCCTTTGTGCAAGTTAAGGCCTACTGATGCAGAAACTGCCGCTGCCCCACTTACTATGCACACCATAGTGTCAAAGAAAACTCCTATAAGTTCTTCCTATCCACACTGTCAAATGCCTCCCCATAGCCAATGATATTGACGTATAGTGATGAATTCCATCCAATTGATTGTTCAGCGATGATCTGTAGTGTCGCGATCTGGTCTGTGCACGACCGATCCTTACGGATTCCGACCTGTCGACCTCGAAGCTCGACGTCCACTGAATCTTTCACCCAGTTCAGCAACACTATGTTGGAAGCTTGCGCCGGTATCGACAGTAGTGTAGTATCTTTTTAGTTTTCACACTTGTTCAGATCTCCTTTCTTTGGTATCTGGATGAGACATCCTTATTTCCAGTCCGTCAGCACTTGATCTTCCCCCCAAATTTTCCTTGATAGAATGTGGAGTATGTTTGCAGTTAATTCTATTTCTGACCTTAGTGCTTCGGCTGGTGAATTGTCAGGTCCTGATGCTTTTCCATACTTGGTTTGCCTGATGGTCATCCTGATTTCTTCGATTGTTGGTGGAGTGACATCTATAGGAAGATCTGTAGGTGCTGCTTCGATGTCTAGCGGATTCAATGGAGCTGACCTATTCAAGAGTTCCCCAAAGTATTCTACGCATCTGTTCTCCAGTTCTTGAAATTTCAGTGATTGACTTGCCTTCTTTGTCATTGACCTGTCTCTCTGGTTTACTGTGTTTCCCTACCAGTTTCTTCGTCGTGCCATATAGTTGTCCGATATTTCCTTCTCTTGCAGTTTTATCCACTGTCCTTGCTGGGTCTACCACATATTTCTACTTGTCATCCCTAATACTCTTCTTCACTTGCTTGTTTGCTTCTGTGTATCCAGCCTGTGCGTCAACTTCCTCTGTTGTTGTTCGGCTATTGCTAATCGCTGTCTTCTTGTCATTCCTTTATTGAATTTTGTCCGGGGTTTCCATAGAGATCTATTCATTATGATGAAGCTTATTCCGGCCGAACACCTCCTGATACGTCAAAGTGTGTGATTTTTTTTATCCCTTTCCATTTTTCTTCCATGGTAGTCTCCTTTTCTTCCAGTAGATATTGTACGCTTGGAACATGTTGCTGAAAGTTATCTTGAATTGTTTGGGTTTGTCAGTATCTCGAAGGAGTGCCGTATAGAACCTTTGTACTGCAGTTTCCCCAGCTGTTCAGTGTTTCTCTAGCTTCAGTTACATCTTGAACACAACTAGTTGGGGATCTGAAGCTACGTTAGTGCCTCTGTTTGTTTTCACGTCTTCGATTGTCCATCTGAATTTTTTATTGATACAAATAGGATTAATTTATACATTAATTGAACTTGGTAACAAGTAATATATATTATTATTGGTGGTTGCGTGGGAATTCCACATTCAGGTACATATCAGTTTCATTTTAGGAGTCATGTACATATAATGAATACTGACAAAGTGTATTAAGTATTACATGTGGCTTTTCCTTTATAAAACTATGGAAAAACTCGTGTGATTAATCTTTGAATTGTATAACAGTGAGCGATTACTCATTTGCCACTTTGAAAATTATGGAATCCTCGGAGTTCAATTTTCTTAACATTGGAGTACCTGTTTACTGTAGCACGCCATCATTGAACGGAATCAGTTTTTAAACTGTTTGTGTGTCTGAGCAAGATTTAATCTCTCAAGGTTGATTTGGGAAGATTATTGTTATGCCTTGTTTGTCGAGGCGATTATGCTTACAGTTTTACAATGAGTCAGGGTCTGGAAACTCAAGTGGCTTTGGAACTATTTTGCGAAATGTTGGAAACGTTAAGTGAAAGACCAATAAGTGGTATTGTATTGCTGAGTTGGTCTCGTTCGGATATATTATCTCTTATGTTGAGCATAATGTCACTTATTCTTATATCATGTTCTGTTGCTTCATACCGATATTCCTCCAGGTACTTTGTGTCCTATAAACTAGTTTGTTTGACTGGTCTAATATTTCTAGCTACTCCTGGATATCGATTGCTGGGGATTTGCTCTTTGTCCTTTTGTCAAGTAGCCTTTTGTTCTTAACGTTCTTAACGCGTTATAAAAGGATAATTTCGTCTTGTACAAAGTTTAAGACATTCTTAAGATCTTCCGTCACTTGTCTTAGTAAGTATGTTGTTTCTAATTGTTTGTAGGAAATTTGAAGCCGAATATGCTTTCATACTCACCATGTCTAAATGGACTTTTAAATGAGATGGTTGGTTTGGATACTCACCTTACTATCCGAGATGGGAAAATTGTGGTCTTGCCTGCTGTTTTACTTGTTCCAGGTGATGTTATTATTATTAAACCAGGTGAGACAATCTTCGCTTTCTGCAAACAAATAAATGAAGTAAGGGTATTTACATTTTTAATTTTCGACCTCTGAACTAGAATCACATTTACTTTCCAGGTGATGTTTATGTCCCTCAGAAACTCAGTTGTAACCTGATATCCACCTCGTTTACATCCATTCAAAAATCAGATGAGTGTGTGGTAGCTGTTGTCATCCATTCTCCTTTGGCTTCTTACCTTGATATTGCTTCTAGATCAAGAGTTGAAAATGGTTATACGTTTCAACCGCTTGCTTATAAAGTTGTGAATACTGCAGTTTGGGTTTCTTTAATTATCAAGTGTTCTATAACTTTCATTTTTCTAACTTCAATATTTATTTGCGCATTACCTATTGGTGATCTTAGTCATCAGTTTTATCGCTTGCTAATCTGGTTTGCCCACACTCTTGGTATTGTTATTGCTTCTTCGAGCTTCTCATTGTATTTCATATGGATGATTGCCACTGCTGTTGTCACATTCCACTTCCAGAATGTTCTCTCTAACTCTCAGGATCATTTTAAACTTATTGATGGCAATGACTTCAAATCTCCCCATGTATTTTTCCAACCCAACATGTCTAAGGCTTCCAAATCAAACACGTTAACTTTTCACTCGCTTATCTCCAATCTTCGCTACTTTGGCTTTATGGTAAGTAAGATTAAGCTTGTTTATGTATTTACTAAAAGTTTACCCTCTGGTCCGTAAATGATCGTTTTTTTTTCGTTTGCTCCGCAGAGTAGAAGTTGGCTCTCTAAAAGATCAGTTTTTGTTTTCTTTTATCATTACTTTTCAGTGATTTATAGTTGATGAACTTTAGGTGCCCTGTATGTATACTTTTCTGTTAACTAATGACTAACGACCGAAGCTGCTACCTACCTAGCAGTTGGGAAACTCCAGTTTTGGACTGCTACCTTGACGCGGTGGTTGGGCTTGCCTATCGTGATGACCCATTCGAGCTATATTGGCTGGAACATATGTTCCTGTAGTTTCTACCATGCCAGGCAGGCCGATTTGGAGAACGGTAAGACTAAAAGCAGCAACTCAAGGTCTGAGGGCGAAGTCGTACTGCTGACTGTAGAGGGGTGTGACAGCAGTAAGGTGTTTCCTTCGGACAACCAGCATGACAGCGATGCTGCCTTCCCACAAGGAGGGGTGGGGTTAGAAAAGGTCGACCGTAAAAATGTCACACCTCACCTTACCTCACGGATTTCCGTCTCCGGTGGTAAGGCCCTTTGAAGAACGGAGCTAAAACATTAAAAACCTCCCACGAAAAGGCAGTGCGCGACCGGCCTCAAACAGCTGTCCCTTGGGCTCCGCAGTCACGCTCTCAGGTCGTTAAGGCCAACATTAATCCAATTTCCTTTCCAGGTTCCTCAAGAAATACCCTTCCACGGTGTGGGCAGCCGGGAAGTGACATCAGCCCTCATACCCGTAACAGCATACGAGACCAAGTTGGTCACATTCAAATCCTTCCTACACCTCCTAATACCTCTCTTATCTCCATGACTAACCCTCCTCACGTCTCTTTATCACCTCGCACCGCTAGGGCAAACGATTTGAGTACGTGGAACGCCATTCCTGGTCTCCTGAAACCACGCTCTAAACTACACGTAGGAGCTTTTAACGTACGAACACTTTGCCAAATAGGACAGCAGGCTTCCTTAGCTAAAACTTTAGAATCTCGCGCCATCGATGTGTGCTGCGTCTCCGAAACGCGCATACAGGATCCGAGTAGCGTCATTCATTTGACCTCACCATGCCAAAATAAAGAACCGACTCGATTTACGCTTCGTGTATCTGGAAGCCCTGATTCTGCTTCCCGTGGCCTCGCCGGCGTAGGTATAGCATTGAGTCCTAGGGCAGAACTAGCTCTCTTAGAGTGGATCCCAGTAGACAGTCGTTTGTGCGCTGTCCGACTGAACGGAACAGTAAGAATCCGGAAAGATAGGGACACTCGTCGTTGCCTCTTCGTCGTCTCTGCCTATTCTCCCACTGACTGCAGCTCAGATGATGTAAAAGATGAGTTTTACAGAAAGCTTTCGGACCTTCTCCGAAAAGCTAGGCGCTCGGATGTAGTAATAGTGGCCGGTGACTTTAATGCTCAAGTAGGTAAACTAAGCGATAGGGAAAGACACCTAGGTGGATCTTATGGTGTCGTGGCTCAAAGAACAGATAATGGCGACCGTCTGTTGCAGCTATGCTCAGATAACCGCCTGTTCCTTGCAAATACTAACTTTAAGCATAAGGAAAAACATCTTTTAACATGGCGACCCCCTAATTCGTCCCAACGTTGGACCCAAATAGATCACATCGCTATCAGCCACCGATGGAGGGGCTCGATAGAAGACTGTCGCTCATTCTGGAGCACATGCCTAGATTCAGATCATGCTCTAGTGCGAGCGCGTATTTCTCTGCGTCTTACTGGACGTAGGAAAGACGCTGCAAGGAAACCTCTTAGGGCCCTACTTAATGATAGTCAAGCTAAGAGTATATTTCAGGAACAACTAGGAAAACAGTTAGGCAGCCATGTATGTGATGCCCACCCCGATGCAGCATGGAATGATATCCGAAAAGCTGTGGAAACAGCAGTGATATCTGCTAGTAAGGTAAACCAGAAGGTTAGGGAGCAACACTGGATCTCAGCAGCATCTATCGCACTGATAGATGCTCGGAAACTCATTCCACCTGGCTCTGAACATAATGAAGAGCGGAGTCAGCTTAAGCACAAGCTGACAAGAAGTCTACGCAATGATCGCGAACAGTGGTGGGTAGCGAAAGCAAGAGAGATGGAAAAGGCAGCGGCAATAGGTAATAGCAGACAATTGTTCAGACTCGTTAAGGAAACCGGAATTAGGAACCCGACTGTTAGCGAAACAATCTCTGATTTCAGTTTATATCGTCATCGATTAATCTATAGCGAGATACATACTACATATATCTATTAACATTTTAACTTCAATAATAACTCATAGTTCGTTCCTAACTTTACGGTGTAACAGGATTACTAGGAGGGGCTTTCCACTTTGTTACGTCGAATGAACTTGAAAAAATGAAGTGTATTGGAAGTAACTTGATAAATGTAAAGGTAAATTACGTGATAATTCTATACTACATGTCTTGTTACTTACAACTACTATTACTATTGCATTCTATTTATCTACGAAATGTTTTCTCAATACATTATTTACATCATTCTACGGTGGCTTATTTAAACGTGTTGTAATCATAGTTTTACTTTCAGACAAACGTAGATATGGAAAATATTGTACTTACTTTGGGAACACTAAGTTCCGTGTGTTGTATCAACCAAGAAGGTGTTATAAGTCAGTCGTTGCCAACTCCAGAGAAAATGTTTTTCTTTCACAGACGCCACCACAATCATCACCATCAGGAGAGTTTTGGTACAAACAGGTCTCGAAATGTCTATAAATCAAACTCAAAAGCGGAAGAACGTTTGGATCATCAAAATTCTAAATCAGGCCAACTGAACACGCCTGGTTTTCCGCGCACAAAAAAACAAGTAACTTTTGCTTTTTAAGCAACTTCTGTCTGAAGCTTGTAGCAATAATAGTTCAGAAAGATAATCAAAGCTTATCTATGGAACCATTTATCCCGTTTGACTTTCAAACCATTAAAATCACTTTAAATGACCAGAAATCACAGGAAGTCTGCGTTCTAGTGTGGAGCTACTTTATAATTGTTTCAGAAATTGTGTTATTTCTACACATGTCCAATACGGGGTTGTGGACGTATGTTGTTTTAGCTTGCCACTGCTTTCAACTGTTCAAAAGAGGATATGTGTGAAAAAGGTATAATGAACAGACAAAAAGTGATGGTATAGTGACTTCATCTATGTGTTTCGGTCGCTAGTTTCCAATCTTAAGGAGATACTAACAACTAAGCTTGCTTCTTCCGATATAGCTGAGACCGAAACCCAGTGAATTCATGAATTGAAATCATATCTTAATATGCTCATTTGACCTGTCGTCCTTCACCACTCAGCACTATGTATTTCCCGAAGAAGCATCTCAAACATAATGGTTCATGCTTCTTAGTTTAGATAGGTTGGCACTCTTATCAATTGCTTAGTCCTCTTTAAGCATTACTCTTATTTAAAGTATCAGCAACCTAATTTTTTGTCCATGCATAAAGAATCTGTTGACCAGTCGTCTATGTAACTGCTTTTTAATATTCATTTTTTGTGGATAGATTTACCGGTTGTACTATGTAGATTCGTCCAGTAGAGAAAAAGAATCCCTAATATATTCTCTTAGATTGTTACTTCCATGAACTAGTTTACCAATCCCGGGTATTATTTGTTAGTGTTTAAAAATCTATTGGTGATGGGTTTAAATAACCACCGAAAATTAGCGAAATATAATAGTAGTATGGTGAAATGTTAGCGTATTATCCTCATCAGGTAAATTCTATGAGATTATTCGTCATTTTTAATTCACCACTAGCGATGTAATGGATAAGATGTATTACATTCAAAATTTTGGCCCGTTACAGTCATTACTTACTTACTTACTTACGCCTGTTACTCCCAATGGAGTATAGGCCGCTGACCAGCATTCTCCAACCCACTCTGTCCTGGGCCTTCTTTTCTAGTTCCATCCAATTCTTGTTCATTTTTCTCATGTCTATTTCCATTTCTCGGCGTAATGTGTTCTTTGGTCTTCCTCTTTTCCTTTGGCCTTCAGGATTCCATGTGGGGGCTTGTCTTGTGACGCAGTTGGGTGCTTTCCTCAATGTTTGTCCTATCCACTTCCAGCGCTTCTTCCTGATTTCTTCCTCCGCTGGGATCTGGTTTGTTCTCTCCCACAGTACGTTGTTGCTAATAGTGTCCGGCCAACGGATCTGAAGTATTTTGCGTAGACAACTGTTAATAAACACCTGTATTTTCTGGATGATGGCTTTCGTAGTTCTCCAGGTTTCTGCCCCATACAACAGAACTGTCTTGACATTTGTATTGAAAATCCTGACCTTGGTTTTGGTTGACAGTTGCTCTGAGTTCCAGATGTTCTTCAGTTGTAAATATGCTGCTCTTGCTTTGCCGATCCGCGCCTTCACATCTGCATCAGATCCACCCTGTTCATCAATGATGCTGCCCAAATACGTAAAGGTTTTTACATCTTCCAAATCTTCTCCGTCAATTGTGATTAGATTGGTGCATTCTGTGTTGTATCGGAGAATCCCGCTTTTCCCTTTATGTATATTGAGACCTACTGCTGCTGAGGCTGCTGCCACACTGTTCGTCTTCTCCTTCATATGTTGTTGCGTTTGGGATAGAAGGGCCAGATCATCTGCGAAGTCTAGATCGTCCAACTGCATCCTAGATGTCCATTGTATCCCGTGCTTCCCTTCACGATCCAGTCGATAACCAGGAGAAAGAGAAAGGGTGAGAGTAAGCAACCTTGCCTGACACCGGTCTTTACCTCGAACGAGTTTGTCAACTGTCCTCCATGCACAATTTTGTCGGTTCGGATGCTCCGCTTCACTTGTTTGTTTACTTCCGTGTATTCAGCTTGTGCCTTGGCTTTTTCTGCTCTTGTTCGACTGGTATTGATTGCTGCCTTCTTGTTCCTCCTTTCTTGAATCTTATCCAGTGTATCAACAGTGATCCATTCCTTGTGATGGTGCTTCTTGTGACCCAGGACCTCATGACATGTTGAAGTGATTGCCTCTTTGATCCCCTTCCAGTTACTCTCCACAGTAGTTCCTTCTCCATTGAGTAGATCATAAAAGGCCTGGAACTTGTTGCTGAGGACTATCTTGAATTTGTTGAGTTTGTTAGTATCCTGAAGAAAGGCCGTATTGAACTTTTGTGATATTGTCCGCCCCGTTGTCCAGTGCTTCTTGAGTTTCAATTTCATCTTGGCGACCAGCAAGTGATGATCTGATGCTATATCAGCTCCTCTCTTGGTTCTCACGTCCTCTATAGTCCTCCTGAACGTTTTGTTGATGCAAATATGGTCGATTTGGTTTTGTGTATAGTGATCCGGTGAAGTCCATGTGGTTTTGTGTATGCGTTTATGTGGGAATATGGTGCCGCCTATGACCAGCTTATTGAAGGCACATAGATTTGCAAATCTCTCACCATTTTCGTTTCTTTCTCCCAGTCCGTGTCGTCCCATGATGTCTTCATATCCAGTGTTGTCCGTTCCAACCTTGGCGTTGAAATCTCCCATCAGAATGGTCAGATACTTTCTTGGGCACTTCTCGACGATTGACTGCAGCCTATTGTAGAATTGATCTTTAGCGTCTTCATTGTAGTCGTTGGTAGGCGCATATCATTGGATGATGTTCATTGAAATACCCTCTTTCTTTTTTTTGAACGAGGCTTTGATGATCCTTGGTCCATGAGATTCCCATCCTATAAGCGCATTTTGCGCTTGTTTGGACAGCATCAATGCAACTCCTTGTGTATGTGGTGCATTTTCATCTTCATGGCCGGAGTATAACAGAAGCTCTCCTGTAGTTAGTCGTTGTTGTCCAACTTGTGTCCAATGTGTTTCACTGATCCCAAGTACCTCAAGGTTGTATCTTCTCATTTCTGCAGCAATTTGGAAGGCTCTCCCGGTGTTCCACATTGTACGAACATTCCATGTACCTAAATAAATGGTCGCTCTGGTTGTCAGAAGGGGCATCGGCCTCGTAACTTCCGAAGGAATTCGGCTTTCATCATGAGGCGTCATAATTCTTCTAAATGAAGACCTTCTGACTCCCAGGGCAGAGTTTAAAAGGTTTGAATAATTTTTTCTGGTTAGCGTTTTTTTAGCGAGTTAGTTTTCTACGGGATGGGGACGCTAACCCCATGCCCAACCCTCCTCCTTTATCCGGGCTTGGGACCGGCAGTAGCCCCCGGAGGGACTCAGGCGGAGTCATTGAACTTCCTCAAATGACAGTGCGATTTTCAAACCTAGTAGAAAGTAAACACTTTCACTAATTATATAACGTCTAAAAAATTTGTCTCATTTTTCTGTTGGGAGACTTGTTTTTACTAATCTAGAACTATTCAGCTGAATGCCTTGCTGTCTTTCCACCAATTTAATAGTCGTTTTGAACTCCAGAGAAACTCGTAAACAGATATGTTAATTAATAATCATTTGTGCAATCGATCAGATTTCGTTTTTTCGTAGGTAGTTGGTGGATTTATGGAGTAAAAGATCTAACTCTCGCAGGCTAGTATCAAGTATCCTATTCAGTGGAAATCAAGATATATTTTTCAGATGTATTGGAAAATACTCAAAATGCTGTTTTGAAGTGCTTATTTTTTAGGTATTTTGCTATAATTTGAAGTGCATGATCTTCCTCACAGCCTCAGTTTCCATCATTGCAAATATATAAAATGCTTTGTATTGTTCCCAGATTTGAATTATTTTACCTCTTCCTAAAAGTCAGTGAATTATTAAGTTTTGGAAGTGGTTTGAGCCAGGTGTTAAAATCAATTGAACAACTTCTGACAGTCCGAAAGCGATAAAAGTGAATTTGTTTTATACTTAACTGTTCCCCTAGATTTACGATTCGCTCATCAAACCTTGTTTAAATTACGGTTAATATTCTTAGAAACGAAATGTCTATTTTAAATAAAACCTCTGTGAATTTATTTTAAAAAAATAATTGTTGCAGAAATTTATTGGACGTAAGCAATCATTTTATCACCATGAATAAACGTATTTCTGGTTTAATGTGTAAAGGGATTCCCAAATCAAAATTACTCTGTATATTGATGGAATAAATCATTTGTTTCAAAACTCGGTTATATTCGATTTCTTTTCAAATTCGTAGTGTGTTGGACTTAATCAAGGAGAACTTTGCGAGACTCAAAGTCCCATCCAAAATCAGCTACCCACTAACTGTGATTCTAATGATACACCTGGTTTTCAACGAAGTGCTGTGTTTCCACTGAGCAGTTGTATTGCACCGGTAGTTCTAGACTTACGAACCGATTTTTATCGACCCTTTTTATCGCATTTCGAAAGGCCGCGCTGGGATCGTTTCCTTTCATCGCTTAAACCAATCGGTTTATCGATTCTTCTCAACAATTGTCACTCTGCTATTGCGAAACAGAGAATTGGCTTTTTTGAAAAAGTAAATGCAACTCAAAAATATTTCGATTCTTCGTCATGTATTACTGCACTGCCGCTTACTTTCTGTCTGTGTGGTCTTGCAAGCCAGATAGGATTTCGTGATGGTGCCCTAAGTGGTTTTGGCACTCATGGATGCTTGGGTGCTTATTCTATTTGCTCAGCCGCATATACTTCTAATTCTAACGCTACTGATGTGAAAAGTAAATTATCTTCCGAAGAAATCCTCCCGACAAAAGAAAATACAAATTATGTAGGTTTGACTCTATTTGTTTACATTAACTGTTTTTGTGATGTTATCTTGTTTCTTTATAACCGGCTAGCTTCATAGTGCAAGTTAAATGTTATCTCATTTCTCATCTTTTCTCTAAGTACATTTTGAGGCTAATTGACTGTCCGTATAAGAGCATGCGCATAGTTTTTTCCATTTAAACTATCACACAGTAAAAAGGGAATGTAATGAAGATTATCGGCAAAGCTGAATGATTACCGTTAACTTAACAGACTACTCAGTTTATCATGACAATTAATAGATACAATTGAGTGATTCAAGTTGGTTACTAGCGTAACTAGTTTAGAGACCCCCCAACTGCATAGTGTTTAGTTTTCTATACTCCTTTAAGAAGTAGTCGTTTAACTAACTGAATTTTTGAGACAGTATGTCACTGTTACTTGTGCATAAAACCCACTCCACTCATCCTACGTTTTTGGTGTTTGTGACTTCACAGTAGCTTTTTAATTTTAAGCAAAGCTTTATACCAAACCATAGTACTAATGTGTTGATTATTCTAAAAGTTATTTACTATATTCAGTAATGTTGTCTAATTATGCGTTAGTTAACAGTAATCAGTCGTTGGAACCATGGGACAATTTGCCCTGGTGACTTAGATTAATCCTTTCTTTGCTCCTCTCTAAGTATTTGACATGATCTTTCGTCCAAACTTATCTCTTTCAGTTTGCCAATAATGCTGGTATTACTTCCGCTACTCCTTTGATGTTTTTTCTGTTCTTATGCTGTGTGGTGTTAACTCAATTCATCAATAAGATTTCATCAGAAGGGTTTTTGTGGATATTATAGTAATTTCAATACTTGGGGTCATTAGTCAATTGAAGCTAGACCACCATGGAAAACCTGGAAGCACTTGACGGCCGTTTCATCCTATTGTGGGATTCCTCAGCAGTACGCATCCACGACCCCGCCGAGGTATTTCCTGGAGTTCTAGTGAGAAGCAGTGACCAGTGGAGTTCAACCGGGTCTGTTGTGAGATAGTAACTCACTGAAGACAATGGTGGATGTGTCACTAAATTTCGTGAATTGGTTGAAGTTAGACATCAACACCATTGGATGCCGGCTCAGTAGTCTAGCGCTTAAGCCCTTACGTGCGAGACTGATAAGTCCTGGGTTCGGATCTCGTGAGGTGGAATCGTGGATGTGTGCTGCTGAGGAGTCCCACAATAGGACGAAACAGCCATCCAGTGCTTCCAGGTTTTCCATGATGGTCTAGCTTCAGTTGACTTGTGATCTCAACCATTGAAATAAGATTTCAGTTGAGGAAACTTAAAAAATCAAAACAACTGGTTTTTTAGCACATCATCGTCGTACATTACTTCATAAATGGCGTTATGATGACTCAACTAGTGTATGATCAAACCATATTCCAATAAACGTACACTTTTACTTTCATATTTTTACGTGTTATGATTTTTGCTAAGTAATTTGTGCAACAAATGTAAGGCCAATATATTTTACTGTTGAATCTGGTTGGATACACCCATTTCAGTCAGTTGGATTTCCATAATAGTGTAATGCTAACTATCGGAACTTGATTTTTACTCACTGTAGGACCGAATTCATTTGGCTTATTGCTTTAGCTCTGTCTTCTCTGATCCAAATATCCAAAGTGGTTATCAACTGCTCTCTCAAGGTACTGGTGATATTCTTGCTAGCTTGTGTTCTGATGTTTGGGATGGGCGGGATATTGTACCACTGTCAGATAGAGAACGTGAACTAATCTTGGGGTTCCACAATCGTCATCTGTCGTCTGCATACTGTATTGGATTCGCTTATTCTCCGTTGGTTGATAAAATTGAGGAATCTTATCGACTGTTGTTGGGTAATCTCTCTAGTTCGTCAGATATCTTCATGCTTCGTTTACCAGGAGTAAGATTTAGTATTTCTAATTGTTACTTTCATGATTGTTTTCTAAATGATACAGAGCTTATAAAATATGTTTACATATCTCTTCTCTATTACTCACTACCTTATTTCTGCAAATTCATACATGTTTACCGTCGTTATATTCAATTTACCTCCTCAAATATGATAAATATTTTCTTGTTCATCACATTTGAAGTTTGTTTTGCAAAACCACTTACTCCTATCAGCGGATGAAAGGACGTTTCCTCCTAAAACTTGACAGCTCAGCGGTACGAATTCTTAATATGATCCTAATGTATTCGAACTCAATCGTACCTGTCGAGTCATTGAGATTTAGATTTAGTGACTCACTAAACACAAAACTGACAGAGATAAATGAAGAATATTCAGTTTGCTTATTTCAGAATTGACCTACGATTATTTAAATCTTATTACCTGGGATAATAAGCTAATAATGATTTATAACACAAGACAGATTAAAAATTACTATGATTTTGGTAAAAAAAAGACCCTTTCACTCTTCTGGATTTTATAACACTCCCAAATAATGATCGAAAACCACACCTTTCTAGAAGGGTTGTCAGGATGTTTATCTTGTGGATACTTCCAAAAACTTCAGTCATTACTCGGCATGATCTTGTTCACCACAATCTGTCAGCATATTGTCAAAATATGTATCCACATACATTCGTAAGTGATGAACAGATCTGTTTGTAACTGTAAATATAAGTCATTCTAAGGTCTAGTTTTAATTGTTCTCAAACCACTCCCAATAAAAATATTCATGTATCTTTGAAAGTATCTAGTGTTTTGGCTAGTATTCAGAAAAAAACCATTATATTAAACAGGTATAGAAAGTGCATAAATTCCTTTCGCGTGGGATGGAAGCGCGACAACTTCAGACATAAGTTCATTGATCGAAATAGCTGGAATTATCAAAATCAGAGGAAAACAGACTCAACTGATGAAAAAAGGTAAGGGCATAAATATAATAAAGAGAATTTGTTAGTAAAAATGCACATAACTGTAAAATAATGAGAACGTTTGACAGTATAGAGGCGTGTAGATTGTCCATTTTCATTTAAATCATGAAATAATCAAAGTCAGACAACCATTCAAAACTTGTAAACACTGGACGACCGTTACGTCCAATTATAGGACTCTACTGGTTGTCTTTGATTAGTTCGTAATTTCGATTTAAATGTTTGATATTTAGGGGAATATTTCTGTTTGATAATATGTATTACCTCATATTGTGCAACGTAATAATCAACTACATTTATGTGAATGTGGGGTTTAATACTGACCCCAGTCGCAAAACATTTATATTTCTAAATTTCCAGCAGTACATAGTAATGCTGTTTTTTGTGTGTTTCTCTTCTCTTATTTAATTAAGTCTGATGATATTTCACCAGTAATACAGCGAAAGGTACTGGAACACCTGGTTTGCAGTCGATCATATTCAAATCGTTCTCTACTACCGCGTGTTACGAACAATATTAACAGTACCAGTCCCATTTATGACAGGATTGTTCGTGATAGTGATATTTCTAGAAGATCTCAAGCTATTTCAAAATCCAGCAGACCACGTAATTATCGACTAAAATTTACAAAGAATATGAAAAACTTCGGTTTTAATTCCTTCTCTAAATATTGGCAGCATAGCGATCGGAAAAAGAAGGGTGTGATAAAACGGAAGGAACGTATTCAAATGATAAACTTCTAAAACATTCACCGTCTAAGAGAAGTGATAGATTTTCTAGAAAACATCGAATTAACCATAATCGAATAAGTAGTAATTTTGGTGAGTATGATAGTAACTGTTTGGTTTTGAATGAATTTCCAAATGCTAATTTTGTTTCGGAAACTGATCATTGCAAAAGTAACGCTGATAACTTGGATCATGATAAGAAGTGAGTAAGATGATTTGTTTTTGTTGACTGTTTTCCTAATGTATTTAGTTTAAAAACAAGTATCATTTGGGGGAGAATTCGTAAAACAATCCTCTGACTGATTGTAAACGCAGTTCCACATATGATAATTGGAAAGTGGGAGAAGCCGAAGAGATTCACCTAAAAAAGCCAGTCACTAAAAGCAACATTAATATTTTCTAACTAGATGTTGGAAATTTGGTCCGTATACTGTGAAGAGCAGTTCAGTCAGTGTACAGTTAATCACATCCCAAATATGTTATTGAATGAGAACTAAATTTAGAATGGCTGTGATAAATCAGAGATAAAATAAAATAGCAAAACTTGGCCAGTTTATTAAAGAGAACAAAGCTCTTTTCTTAATAGTTACAAAAGAACTAGCTTTGCTGAAACGGTCTTTAAGATGTTAGAGTTCACTGCAATTCATCATGCAGCTAGAAATCGGGTACAACAAACCCAATAGAACTAAGATTTAAGTCTTAGGAATGAATGTATTAATCAAATCTTAATGTGTATCAGTAAAGTTTGTGCTGATCTGCCACTAATAGATGAAGTCATTTAAGTTGTGACATGTGTACTTTTGTTGGTTTACAGTCAAAGTCATCTTTAATCCGTTCGACGTCTATGGCTAGGCGATAGTTCTAGTGATCTCAAGGGAGAAGCACCAAAAGAGTAAACTTAGTTACTGAGGTGTTCAACTTGCGTAAATTAAAGTTATTGAACCAAGTGTCATTCATAATAAACAATATTCCTTACTCCGACATAGAATATTAATTGAAGCAGGATTAGTTTAAAAAAGTCGCTACTAGCCAAACTAAAAAATTCCATCAATTCATAAAGTCACTGTCTAGTTGCTGGATACTCTTGGAAGCACTTAAACTATTTGATATGATACAGTAATAAAAATTAGCGGTCCGCTTCATAATAATCCAGCTGCAGTCACTCCAAATCCTCGTCTAAATTTTAGTTGTCTTGTTATTCCTCATTTATGTTCTTAGTTATTTTAATAACCATCTTTTAGTTCCATATGCCTCAAATCAATGAACTTTTATTCAAGATTTTATGTTACTGTCTTTCCTATTCCACCACCTAATTTATTAAATCTAACTTACAAAAACCTGTTATATCTATCCTATAGTTTAAAGAGCAAGCTTGTCCTTTTGCATAAATTATTCGTATACGATAACAAATTTACATTACAAATCAAAAATATTTTCAGAATTTATTTACAACTTAACTTTTTGCTTCTAAATCTTAAATAAATGATTATTACGAAATTCATAAACCACTTATAAAATCAAATGCAGCCACTAGTCCTTTTACCATAAAAGTTCAATATTTAGCTGATTCTCAATGACCATTCGTTCAGACAACTTTCAGTCTCTTATATGTTAGACCCCTTTTATACATAATAGTTGTCTTTCCTCATCTAAATAACTCCTGTAAATATTTTTCACAATTACCTCATTTTTTACCGTTATTTTGTAGGAGTAATGTACGTACTGATCAGAAAGAAGTGGACGTTATACTGAATAATCAAATATTCTTAGGTCTAATAAGTATGCAGTATCAGGCAAATCCTCAAGTTGTAAAGTCCATTAAACAACTTCATCAAGCTTGTATACGATTTGTACATTTTTCTCGAGTAAGTAACAATTGTCTGGTAAGTATTATTGTTATTACTTCATGCCAAACTACTTTTGAGATACTTCCATGGAAAGTACGTTTATTAAGCCATATAAAGGACTAGCTACTATCCGTAGCTTTTAACACTAATCTGATGGTCACGTCACTTATTCCAGTTTGGTGCCCGTTTCTGTAAAGTATGTGGCTGTTAGGTAGCTAGTAAACCTAGACAACCCACTCCCTGTAAGTTAATAAAGCCACTCAACTGTCAACGATTATATCATGGTTCCAAAAATTAATTAACTTAGTTTGCTCTCAGCAACCCAGTAGTATCACGATCTATAAGGGTAACTCAGAAGTCATTGTACACGTTCACTGATAAACTGTATGTTATATTTTGTATTTAGTATTATTCTGTGTTTGTTCTTATTAAGATAATGCAAAGGACTTTTTCGATAGGATGATTTTTTGTTTGACTATATTTATAACTCGAAATTATTGAATCATTTATAATGTCAGTTAAATAGTTTATATTTTTGCGTCTTTATACATACTGTACAATCTCACAATATATATGCTTAACTATTCCTAGCAGTAACGATACTAATTTCTTGAAATGTTTTGATGAGATTTCGTTCACAACATTACGCGACGTATTATTTATAGTTTTATTTCACGTGACGTATGGTGCGTCGGAGTTTCTAAACAATATGCTTAATACGTGGTCATTAATTATATGATTATTATTTAATGGACCACTGTAACACATAGTTTCTCGTTCGAGGTGTATTATTAAAAGAACTATTCTAGAGAGTGACCACTAAAACTTTTCCTTAGTAGTTCTTTTCACAAGATATGCTGTTTTACTTTCCAACCCTTGAAACTATCTTCAGTGCTTTTAATGAGCGAATTTCCCGATCTTAATTCATAATCACTTTTCCCAGAAACTTATTAGTGACACTATTATTAATTATCTTTTTCTTAAATAACACGGGTCGGTCTACTACTATATTTTGTAAAAGTGTTATTTCTCGTATATTTTGTTAAGGAAAATGAACTTCGAAGTAGAGTGTTCGCTGAACGTTTGGGGTTAGAATGTGGTTGGAATTGTCATATATCGCTTAGGAGTCCTAATTCTGTTAGTAATCGCAAATCCGTTGGTCTGCCTAAAGAATTCCGTAAAAGCTATAAATTTTCATTCGGAACTGATTTGTTCGTCACTGAAGGAAAATACTTTGTTGGTAAGTAATTTGATCTTACATTAATTTTAACAGGTGTTTTTCCATCTTGTAACTGCTTTTTTATTCTTTAACTTCCTAAGGTTCCCATCAGACTAAGCGATGGTCAAGTTCTCCGGCACTAGCAACGTCATATCCTTCAGTAAGTGGATGTATCTACTTAAGATTGTTTCGATGACAGTAATAACTCGATTAGTACAAATCTCCAGAAAGGTGATCTATGTTTTATAAATATTTTCATTTAGATTAAGATTACATTTACAGCTGCTTTTCAATATAAGGAAAAACTTATGATTATTTAGAACTTCACTCAATAATCTTCAAATGATGTATTTTTTTTAGCACATATGTGTTTTTTTATATTATTCCTCTCTTTTGTGATGGCCATGGAAATATCTCTAAAGTTAGCTCTGGTTTTAACTCTAATTCACTGGCAATGATGCCATATTCCCACTGTGATTTGGATAACCTGTATGTCACTGCACATTTTGATGATATCGTTAGCATCCATAATATCAGACACTTTCTCAAACTGAACTGTATGTGAGCAAACCTTTGGGGATCGATGATAAAACATGATCTCAAAATATTGTCAGGTTTCAAGCAAAACTTCTGTCACCGACACATCCACACCATAGGTAATTGACTGCAATATGACCAGTTTAAGTCCACCGTTCAGTTTTATAGGAAGGACATTGGTTGACATGTTGGCGATGACTTTCCTGGAGTTTGGCGCTGACCAGAAACAGATTGAACTCTTCACAAAGCTATAGAGACTGTCCCCGTCATCCAACCTTCGACCATCGAGTCCTCATTATCCACTCAAATGACCTCTTCTCTGTCCCTTGACCGACATACCTGTTCATTCAAGTCCCCAGCTAACAACAGAAGATCTATCAAATATGATTTATAATGAATTTGACCTAATTAGGACATAGAAGTCAGCGTTAGTTTCGCTCGAAATGCAGTCCCCTCGTATGTAGGTAGGGATAACAAAAAACATGATTTCTCACCCCGTTTCTTCTTACTTTGGTGTAACCTAACCTAAAAGTGCATAAAAAAGCCCTGGTACGGCCGAGAGTGGGAACAGTTCGCTCTCCCTCTCGAAATGCCCTCACATGGCCACGCGTATATAGCCTTTGCCAGGGAAGTCCTACTCATTGCCTTCTCGTGGCGGGGGTGTCGTTTACGAAATTGAGAGGACGAAAAGCGAATATCCGGCGCTTTAACCGGGTTGGTGGACATGGAGAGTCCACCTAGGGGAGTTGGGAAACCCTGATTCCAAACCAATGGTGCACATGGGCCCCAGTATCCTAAAGGAATACAAGGCATATGAACCAGTTGTTGGTCACCGGCTTCCATGGGACTGCATCTCCGTACGACGCTCCACTGTCTTGTGGACCAGACCTTCAGGTCGAAGGCTCCGGGTGTGACCTCCTAAGAAAACCACCTGCTTCGGTTTGGGCACCCGGTCAGTATCACAGCCCTCACACAAATCAAATGAGATTTGTGTGGTGCATATGTATATGATGTGCCCTTGTACCAATATCTATGTGTTAAAATAAAATAAAAAAAGTGCATAAGCGACTGTTAATTAGTGTCCAGTTTACCAGCAATATTTCTTCAGTATGACACTAACACCAGGGAAACTGGAAGCTGATGCAATAGAGTCACTGGACAAGTATATATCAAACAAACTTTTCGAACTGGCAGATGGCGAATCACTTTGTTTTACTTGACCAGAATCTTAATTACAAGTCTCAGATATATAACAGACATGCATATCGAAACTTTTAGAATTTTTAGCCAGACCTATCTATTGTATGGTCTGCATCGATGTACAAACGTTGGAGGCAGGTTTACATGATAAATGTAACTTTAGAAAAGCTAGATCAGATTTTTCGGTCGGTGATATCACTCAGAAAATAAATCATCCTACGAATCGGGCATTTTTCTGTCACTTTCGTGTCAGTTTTCTAGAGATGGATATTATTTTTCTTGTAAGTGAGTAGTTAAAATACAATCCATGGAATACTAACATTCAACCAGATGCTTTACACAAAACATAGTCTTTGAATAATCTAGATAAAATGCTCCAACTACTTTACTTATATTGTAAAGCCATATATTTAAAAAAAGTGTTTCGGACCAGTATATTACGATTACATACCCTTGTGAGACTCTAGAATCTTTTGTCATCCATTTATACTGTCTCCGAAATACGGAAACAGGATGCTGGTGTGATAATTCACTTGACTCCATCTAGCCAGTATGGAGATCCAGTTGTAACTATCCTTTTGTGTATCTGGAGACCCGACATTAACTTCTCATTGTCTTGCAGTGTAAGTATATTGTGGGGAATAGTGTAACGTTATGTATATTTTAAACCCACATAGTTTATTCTAGATTCCGAACAAGCCAATCTATTCATTTTTCTTAAACCACATTTTGACCTTGTCACTTATTGGCTTATTTATTCTGACTGTTTTTAGATGAGCGTATGTGAGTGCACATCTTATCTTACCTGTAGCTTATTCTTATCTGGCTATAAATATTGACTAATGCTCGGTTAAATCGAGTTGGCATACTTGCCTTCCCCAATCCGTTCCACCCTTTCCTCTTTGTTTCGTTTCCCTGATTGTCTGTTCAAATCGGTGAGTACACGAAGCATACATATTCAAAATTCATTATCGTATGTGGCTTATTTAACTCCGCTATTCACTAACACAATTCAGGTCGATGATTATATACGAGGATTAGCGATATGTATATTTCGACAGCGATCAACATACGATCTAATTGGAGTCAGATTCGGAGCCTCAAAAGTGGTGAACCTGTCGACAACATCGTCCGACCTAAATGGCGTCGTTATCGGGCCACTAAAATATTACTAAGTTGAAAGACAACATGTACGCCTCGAATGAATTCCTCTCGAAAGTTACTTATGAGCCGCCAAAATAAGTGGTACAACGAGGACTCGGAAATAGTGATAAGCGCTGGTATTTTTTCATTTCTGCCTTTACCCCCCACTTATTGCAACACAAACGAAATAAAAGACAGGCTCTATGAAGATTTATCTAACCTCTAGAAAGCTAAACTATCAGATGTAGCAATTATCGTTAATAATATCAACGACCAAGCAGGTGGGCTAAGTGGAAATGAAAGATACTCAGGCGTGTATTTTGGCATCTCAGCTAAGTGGACAGAAACTGGCTGTTAGCGGGACATAGACTAGATTAAAGCATGCTCAATGCATGATTGCTTTGCTGCACGCTGATTGGCTGATTCTTATCCAATCAGCACCAGTCGATAGTCGGAGAATATTCTGGAATCTTCTTATGTAAAAAACTATAAATATACTGACGTTTTTCCCTATTATGCTTCTGACTTGCTATTTGGAATATAATCTTATTCCTGTTCAACCGTGTTCTGATTTGGGGACTTGTCGAGTGAATCGGTGTCCGAGAATACTAAGCAATAGGAATAGCTGGGTCATTAACCGTAAGACAAGAGTTATAACACTGGCGACCATTTTTTTAAACTTTGAAGGGCTCAACTGATGAATCTCAATCCTATTTAAATTCCGACCACTCTGTTTTGTGAGCTCGTGTTTATTTGTGGCTTATTGGACACAAAACGTTCACAAGATACCTTTTTGAACTCATTTTAAAAATGTAAATGTCAAGGATACGTTTAAGATAGAGTTAACTAAGCATTTAGTCGATCGTGTAGAAGATGTTCATCTTGAAGTAGCATGCCATGATCTGCAGTTCACTGTTGTAATAACAGTGGTATTTGTTACCAACCTAGACCACAAAATTAAGAATAGTCAACTGGTCCAGAAGCAATATAGGGTTGTGGAGATTGTTTTATTGAGATCATTAACTGATCAACCTTAGACCACCACTGAAAACCTGGAAGCACGAGAAGACCATTTCGTCCCAGTATGAGACTACTCAGCAGTACGAATCACGATCCCACATGCGGACGCTTGACATCTAAACCACTGAGCCGGTATCCAACGGTGTCAGTGTCTAACTTCGAACAATCCACGATATAACGCGACTATCTTCCATTGTCTTCAGTGGGTAACTGCCTCACACCCGACGCGATTAATCTCCACTAGTTACAGCTTCTCACTAGAACTCGTTCGCGCGAGACCGAAGGCCCCAGGTTCGAGCTCCTTCTGCGGGATCGTGGATTCGCGCTGCTGAGAAGTGTCATACTAGTACAAAACGGCCATACAGTGCTTCCAAGTTTTCAGTAGTGGTTTAACATTCGTCGGTTCATGATTTCAGTGATCTAGAAGTCTTTACCAAATTAACGGATCTTTGAAGACTCATCACTCCAGGTTCTGACAACGATGAATAGTTAAGGAAATTTCGAAGCAGATTGATAAAATTTCTACGTAATGACTGTGAGTAGTAGTGGTCAGCAAAAATAAAAGATGGAGAAGACATTAGTGATTAACACCTATAGGGAACTGTTCAAACTCACCAAGGAAATCGATATTAAAAAATGTGTTGATGGAAGTGTTACAGAAAAACATCAAACAGTATTCCACTCAGTTTAAAACGATTGGTAAGACACTTTAAGGAACAACAAACAATTAACTGACCTCTGGTCACTCTTCAGTTACCTGCTATTCCCATGCAACCTAAATGGGAGATTGACACAAATCCGATAACTTAGCAAGTTTGGAAAGACTACTTTATTTGGGGTGGTGGAGAGCAGCAGGACCTGATCAGTTGACTCTAGACATCTCCAAGAATGGTAGTCCAGCTTTAGGAGTTGAGTACAATGTTATCTAGAGCCGGACAGCTAAATGTAGTCCCGTCTTACTTGTCTCAATCATCGATCATCCCAATCTATAATAACGGACTAGTTTTCCCTCGTAATAACCATAAAGAAGTAACTTTGAGGAATATGGCGTCTAAAGGATTAGTCTCGAGAATTAATTGACGCCTAAAAGAAGTTAACGATCAGCAAATACGAGAAAAGCCAATTTCGTTCTTGGATTTGTATGTATCCGGAAGAGCTTTATCTTTTGGCAGAATTTAGAACATGCATACGTACCGACACTTGACTAACCAATCATCTTTCTCGATCTGAGGGCAACATTTAACTCCATATACCAGGTGGTTTTAAAGCAGTTTTTTAATTGAACTATGTACTAGAAAAGTACGCGAACCATCTGAAGGCTCTTTGCTCGAGCTCCAACAGTCGTATTTAAGGTTATGATAGATTGTTAGCAGAACTAAAAACAATAAGTAATGCTTATTAGGACTCTACTTCTTTTACTTACCAAAATCATAGACATTGCTTGAGAGGAAACTTACGTTGTTTGGGTTTTTAGGGACTAATCTACCAAGAGATTGACTTGTTGACTTGGAATATACTGATGACATGGTTGTGTTCATTAGAGACCCAGAAATACTGTAAAGCCTTCTGGCCGCACAAAGCGATCATTATCCAAACGCATCTCTGAACATTATCCGGCTTGGCTCTTGAAAGGGGAGCGAAAAACAATCACGAGTTCTATACAGGAGCACTTAATCAACTGTGGACATATCGCTCCAAAAGACTCTTCGTTTAAAATAGTTTACAGAGTCAAAGGAACGGTATCGAAGGGGGTTCGAATCAATATTTTATGCACCGCAGAGGCATTGGCAATCCACAAACTAAAGCCTGAACTTTGCGTGCAGAAACGATTTGTCCAACCTCTCATCCTACCCTGGCCCTAATTCCCATAATGGGTATGTTTCTAGGTGTGTTTTTTTTATTGCAGTTTTATTATTACATTTTGCACTTTAAACTCTAATCATTTATTATTATTACCTTTTACAAGTTGTCTTGATTATTATTCAGTCTATTATTGTGACCTTTGTTGTTTTGTCGTTTTTCTTCATATCTGTCAATTGGACTATTATCTGACCCTTAAATTTTGTTCTTCCTTACCCCTTGATTAGTACGTAACCTCATTTGTTATTTATTGTCGAATCCATTTTTGTGATACAATCCATTCTATCCTTCTATAGACATACATTTTCCATATAACTATATATACGAATGTACAGCTTAAGTAAATGATTTCGTCGAAAAGAAAATTTTCTTTGCTGAATTCTCTTTTTCTTATTCAATGACACTATGGGTTATTTTAATTATCTGATAAAATGTCTATATATGAGTGTTTATGCATGTTATTCGGTGCCCTAGTAGATTTCTCCTTCACTCTTGACTTCAAGTAGTAAGTTGGGGGTGAGGGTTGGCGCGTAGCACGTTGTGTATCAGTGTCAGATTTCGAACGCCGTGCATCATGACGTGTCCAAGAATGTTTGCGACGTGTTTCCCCCTGTAAATACAAAATGTATCTTCGGGACTGGTCTGGGTCAACCTCAATCAGTAATTAGAGACGTTGAGTGACGTGGTCCAGAATTCGCCACAGTGACCCAGATGAGCTTTCTCTTTATCTCCCCCTTAGCCTCGAGCTTCAATATTGTTTCGTACTTTTATTTATCGAATTCATTCCTTTTCGAACTGTATTCCCCGATGTTTAGCCTTTCACACCGAAATTGATAGTAATGTCATTCACTTTCATTTTATAGACCCAGAGTAAAGCAATCTGTGGTCACATGTATACCAACTTCCTCGATGTTTGATAGTTACTGCTTTATGAACATTTGCGCACACTGATTCTTGAATACCGTCTCGCTCATTCCAAGACATCAGTCACTTCGCCTCTTAATATTTACCCCACCTCTCGTTCGTTGAATAATACTTTGACCTGATACTATACGCAAAAAAATATATCGTGCGTCTATCAACATTCTAAAAACTCTAAACAAAGTATTATCTCTATCAATTTATTTTCTCATTGATTGTTTGAATCTTCTCATTGATGTTTAGGGTTGCAATTGATCAGTCTCTTATTGGCATATGTGCATCCTGTGGTGGTTGCCTCGATATTGCATTAAGTCACAAACACTATAAGCATAGGTGAATGGTGACTAGCAGTGGAGTCCAGGACGCGAGTTTCGTTCATTCGAGTTCCGGAGTGAACATCTACTCTGAAATGCAGGTACATCTAGCTGACGAGTCCCAAATAGGACGAATGCACGTCATGGATTCCAATGCTAGTCACTATCCATCTCTGTTTATTATCTCCATTGATCCAATACAGCAGTGGTGTTGCTCAGGATTCCCCAATCTCATCGTTCCTTTCTATTTTGGCATTAATGACATCCTGGAGACAGATAGATATGCAAAAACACTAGTACTATAAAGCAGTCCTCTGAAAATCGAATTTCGACCTCAGTTACTAGATTAATATTATTGTACTTTTTGATGATACAGGCTACTCAAATCCCATTTAATTATTTGACTATTAGCGTCTATAAATATAGTGTTTCACTCCATGACTGACAGAATCCTTTGCATGCACATACCCTTTGTGTTGAGTCATCAAATCTAGTCAACTTCATATACCCTTGTGGTGTGATGTATTGACTTGAAATTACAACTCAGCAATTGAGAGTCAGATGCCTAAACCATTGAGATACAATTCTCTCTTAGTTGTAGGTAGGGGAATTATTTGTAGATAGCGGAATGGGACAGAACGGCTCAATTATTGTTATGTTTCTTTGTGCTCTAAAAATTTCAATGAAACACTTTTGATGGTAACAATAACAATCTGTAGTAAATAGCTATTTATTATTTATTTATACTTTACAAAATTTTGGGAAGAAATTCGGGTCCACATCTGATCCACAGTTCTTTCAATCTACTCCATTTCCTGAGTATTGTGAAGCAAACTGTTTGAAATCAATCTCTCCATGTTTGAATTCCCGACAAATTGACTCTGACTTTGAATCTTCATGCTCTCATAATTTCGCTCATGCTGTGTCTACCAGTTACCTTCAGCAGATTCGTTCAAACGAAATAGGTCCAAAGGAATCATTCGGTTCATATCACTTGTCCTCGTCAAGTAATTCAACTAGTTCTGTATCGCTCTCAGTAGATGAACAAAGTGATAATTCTGAAGAAATAAAATTGTCGGAATTGTTGGTCAGGAACAAGGTAATTTTTTGTAGTTTTTTTGTTGAAACGGTGTTCAGAATAATTTTGTCTTCACATTTCAATGTCATCTCATTATCGAACATAATAATTGACTAATTTACATCCATATAATGTTACAATTCATAAATAACATGATCGAAAATCGTTACATCAATACTAAATTTATAAAGTTGATGTTTATTTTGAGGAATTTGTTGTTTACTTTCACAAGACCAGATTCTAATTCACAAATTCGCCTTTATGGGATAATGGCTCTCATCTACAAATTATATTCAGTCTTACAGTAACTAAAACGCTATTGAGCATTGAAAATTATCCATACTGAATATTACGAATCAGCAGTAAATTCTTGGTGCTAATATTCCTATAAATCGGAACAACTTTTGCTTGAGCCGTTATCTAAGGTCATGCTAACTATCCATTTGATTGAGTACCAGTGTCTTGAATTAGACAAGCATTGACATGTCTTGAATTCAAAATATCATACTTTTTCCTCTCATATTTTTATGGATTTTAACAAGATAAAAACCTTAATGGTCTGCATCCATTCTTTTTAGATTCATAATCTTTGTTTTTATCATTTATTTAAGCTTTGTTTCGAAAATATCACTAAATGTTTTCGGGCTTCAAACAGTCTCCTTCTTAATACCTACCAGTGGAGTTAAACTGTCGGGTGTGAGGCAGTTACCCACTGAAGACAATGGAAGATAGTCGCGTTATATCGTGGATTGTTCGAAGTTAGACACTGACACCGTTGGATACCGGCTCAGTGGTTTAGATGTCAAGCGTCCTCATGTGGGATCGTGGATTCGTACTGCTGAGTAGTCTCATACTGGGACGAAATGGTCTTCTCGTGCTTCCAGGTTTTCAATGGTGGTCTAAGGTTGATCAGTTAATGATCTCAATAAAACAATCTCCACAACCCTATACTGATAATTATCATTCAACAGCCTTGAAATAATGATTCATTAAAAGCCTTTCGCATCTTGATTGTGTTATCATTACACACTGGGTTTTATTTTTCAGTATAAATAATGGTTGAATCACATATACTTTCAACGCATATACAAATTTTGTTGCTTTTTTATTACGAGTTATTTAGATCCAGAGAGCATTAGACAGGTATTTTATCTTGGTATATATTGACGATGATGTATTATTTCAGAACCTTAAGCACTTACCGCAAGTTATAAGGTCTGAGAAAATGACTACTTGTCTGAATAATTTCTCGTTACACTGATCACATATATTTCTGAGAATATAATTACTCCCTCTCATTTTACATCCGACTTCACTTTACGCTGACTTATTGTGACTCTGTAGACCAAGAAATTAAGCACTTGAATTTTATCCATTTGGTTTACCTAATCGTACTTTTTTTATAGTAAGTGTTGCTCAAATCTTGAGAGATAAATATCAACAGGGTTATCAAGTAGTTGCATCAGTTTTTAAATGATTTTTTATTCGGTTGTTGTTTTATATACAAAGAACAATATGTCGTAAAGATATCGGTCGTAATAATATATTCCATTTGTCTTTTTGATCAGTTCGTTGTATTTTAACAAGTAATAGTTCTCTCTCTCTGATGTTTCAACTACTTCTTTATTTGGTATTAAGTTAACGTTTTCATTATCTCTTTCTTTTACAGTCCCGACTTCCATGTGGAATCGATAACATACGCCCACATTTAGAAAATGTCGATAACGTTCCATTACAAGTATCATTGTTTACTGATTGTACACCTAAAGGTTAATTGTTGTATATTACATAATTATTTAAATAACATGTTGTACAGTATAACGTTATGACTTGCTTACCTATACAGTCCCCGATCGTTTCGTTTTCGAACACAGTTAAAATGATTTTTCACAGTAAACATCAATGACACATTTTCCCATATTTTGATACATATATCTTTGCTGAATGTCTTACGGTATACTTGTTTAGACGTTTTCCAACATGTATTATGTTAGAAATTTTCGAAGTGGTTTTTAACTATTTCAGTTATAACAGTCATTATTTTATATATATTGAAAGCCGAAAACCTTAAATAATTGAGTGCTTTTCCGTTGGAATTCAGTATGATTATCTAGTCACTGGAGTAAAAGCCAGTCTAATTTACCTCTATCACCCTCACCATTAAAGAGTTGTGAACACAGTTTACTGTATTTCACTATTTTCTCGCGACCTTAAAGTGTTTGAAATTTTAAAGAACTATTTGCTGACTTTTTAATTCGATTTAGAACATGTTAACGTTTGAATTTTTTGGCGGATTCCAAATAAACGTTACGGGATGCCAGGAATGACTAAATGAATCGATACATTTCATCTGAGCACTTTAAATACCATAAATCAGTATTCTGTCGATATTATTATTATTATATTATTATTATTATTATTATTATTATTATTATTATTATTATTAATTATGTGTGACTTAGTGATAGTACCTGATTCTCTGATCTTGGTATGTGGAATGTATTACGACCTAGTAGACTAGTGACATAGTTAATTACCTAAATTATAGGTTCTTAGTACACTATTCTATTATCTGTTTCAAAACCATTCACCCACTTGTATCATTTTATTCTGCAGCACCAAGTAAGAACAGTAAGTAAAACTTAGTCATGAGTTCATAATGTAAAAATCAGTAATACTGCCCGCTCAACTAAACTACGGTTATTTGTATTTTATTTTATTTGAGATGCTAACAGATATAGCTCAAAATCTCAGGCAATTGTAACTTTCCTTTGTCATCTTGAAAAACTGTAAGATGGAGTGTGAAAATTTTTTTTTACTGATATTTACCTTAGCTACCTCTTTAAATTTCGTTGTTTTTTCTATCTATTTACAAAATTCTGTCACTAGTTTACAAAGAACACTTTTTTATAATTCATTTGTATTAGGGATTTTAACTTGGAATGAAAAATAAATTCATGTTTAAAAGCTTTCAATCGCTTGCCAAAATTCACGATCAATAAAAGCCTTTCCTTTCAGATCACTAATTAAACAGCAGAGGACTCATCCCTGTCACTAAAATGATGTCTGGCACACAAACTTGAGTTTATTTTCTAACATTCAGAATCAAGATGTATGATGGAAACGTCGTTTGCACTTTACCAGGTTTAACATTCAAGTATCAGAGTATCCTATCTCTGCTTTGTTAACGCTTATACCTGTATTCGAATAATTAAATCAACAGCAGTGACTTCTCAAACATTACTAAAACTGTTGAATGTTTATGAATCATTCATCTCACTTAACATCTCAATATCATTCTCTTTGTTTATTTACTTATTGAAAAGCTGTTAGCGAAATGATTCAAATAATGAAAGAATATGGGGATACTGTTTGCTTAATTGGAAGCTGTTATTCATTAACCAACTATGTATTGTTTCAACAAAGTGATGTAGCTATTGCTGTGAAACCTATTCTACCCTACTCGAATTGTCAATTTGCAAATACCAAGTACATTGTCTCGAATCAAGTGAGTTCATATTTTCTATAATAATCTCACCCTTATTATTAAATATAAACTTCATTTAATATACCTCATCCATGCGAACACTTTTAAAAACTATTATTACTGGAAATATGTTAGTGCAATCAGTTAGTCACCTACAGCGTTAGGACCAGGCATATATATGCATCGGACTAAGTGATTAATTTTCGTGTTAGCTCCGTACTTATTGGAACCTTACCAGCGGAGACGGAAATAGGTGGAATAAGGCGATATGTGCATTTTAGGCTCGACCTCTTCCAACCCCACACCCTCCTTATGAGAAGATAGTATCGCTGTTATGCTGGTTGTCTGAAGGAAACACCTTACTACTGTCACACCGTTGTACAGTCAGTAGTACGACTTCGCCTTTTGGCCTTGAGTTTGCTTGTTTTAGTCTTACCGTTCTTCAACCAACCTGTATGGTATGGTAGGACCTTGAGGAACGATTGTCCAAACCAGTATAGCTCGACTGGTTCATCACGATAGACTAGCCCGACCACTGTGTCAAGGTAGCAGCAACGGTCGGGTTCAATGTAGCAGCAACTCAGTGATAAACCCTTACTCGATCACTTTAACACTGACTTCTCAGTCGCTTCGCCAGAAGTTTTACACTCTTGATCCTCGAGTAAAATACAGAGGACTGTAAAAAACTAAAAAAATTACTTCGAAAGTCACGAATCTGAAGTAATGCAAAACATAAACAAACACCAAAATTTCTCTGTTCTCTTTACTTCTTGTGTATATTTTAGGCTTATATTTACTCCTCGTAAGATAGTGGAATCAAAAAGCTTTATGATTGAGGCCACAGCGCCACAACATGGGAAACAAATGGAGTGCGGGGCTCAACTATTTGAATACATGAACATTTTATCATTCAATAGAGGGTAATAGGGAATGTGTTGCTTACATAAAATAAAAAGTAAAAAAATCTCATTTCTGTTTATAATTTCTTAAATTGTAATAGAATGTTGTCAGGTAACTCACCCAGATTCGACTGCTGCATTAACCTCCTTCCAAAATCAACTTCCGTTGAAATTTTTTTCTTATGAGTAATTTAAAACACTAGTTCAGAAATTATAGAACATAGTGCAGCCTTATGGAGAGTTTGTGCATTATGTTTAGTACTTGACATCAATACACTCACAATCAGTAACAAATAACACCTATTTAGTACTCAGAAGTTATCTAAAGCTGTTACACATTTTCATAGTATATCATCCACTGTCTTGGTTGCACGTATCGTCTCACTACAAATTATCGCAAGTGATTTGTTTACCTGTCCTTTGTAATTATTTTCTTCGCCAAGCAATCTAATAGGAGGTTATCGGTTAACTTTTTCGGCTGCTACACATTTGTCTTGATGTTTATACATAAAAGAGTATTGTTAAGACATTAAAAACAACTAGTATGAAGCCTTAGATTTTGATTTTTGTTACGGTATATCAGCAAATGTAAGAGAACTGGTGCTCCCTGTGGTGTTTAAATCGGCGTCACCCAGTGCCACAGTCAGTGGTGCGACTACAGCTATTCGCGTGACTTGATCGATGTAATTCGATCAACATTATGGACTGAACAAATCTGATATAATTAAATTTTAGTAGTGGCTTACAGTGTAATCCAGGACACATGTCCTCCTAGCTGAATGTACTTGCATTCCAGTTTTAATGTCCACTGCGGTCCTCGAACCCAGTACCTTTCATTTGGAATACCAAACGCGTTACCCACTGAGCTACTGAGTCTAAATAGCCACTAGCTTGTATAGCGAGGATGAATTAATAATGGACCTAGCAGCATATAACAGCAGTAAAAATTAATTTGTGTAGTGTCACAGAATTCTTATTCTATTAAAGTACAGCTTTTTAAGCTTACTTTCATAGAAGGCTTTGTTCTTTTCAATAAATGCTTATACCTAATAAAATAAACGGCACTTTTGATAAGTATGTAAGAACCGTATGTGTGTGTTCAACTCAGCGATTATCCTCGCGAAGCTTTAAAACGGTAAGTTAATCATTCTTTTATTATTCCTATGATAAGAATGCTTATCATTTACGATTTTTTAAAATCATTTTCAATGTACTGGACTCTGTTGTATGCATTATTGTTTTAATTAATTTCGTTTGAATTCTTTCTTTTCGTTGTATAACTCTCAAGTCTGTTGATCTGTTAACAAGTGATCTCCAGTCAGAAGAGTTTAGTTGTTCGAAAAAAAACCCGACTTCTACACATCAGGAAGGTGATACTACAAATTTTAATACATTCGACATTGCTGCACATCTTGTACGCTTAGTTACACCTTGTCTTTTGGATATAGAGAAAACAGGATTTCATGTTTACGATCTTATTGTTGAGGTAAGTAGAGTAAAATTATACGTACTACAGTGGTTCTCGTATCACTTTTTTATTTGCGTAAAATCCGAAACATGCTTTTTGTTGTATTTCACACTGAGCTTAACGTGCTTGGGTCACCATGTTAATTTTTTCATTGAGACCTAAATCCAAGACTTATTGCTTAAATCTTGATAGCATTATCACCCAATCCACTGGGTTATGATAGAGATCACTTGTTCTTTAATATAGTTACTCTCCTGTTGTCTAACATTTATGAATCCTTTACAAGTCACATAAATTTCATTGGAATGTAAAAGGTGTTACAGTAAGGTGTTCTCAGCACCAGTTATACAATATTACAACAAACTTCTGTTTAGTATACATTCAAGCCATATATATTTCAGGACTTTTTTTATGTGTGTCTGTAACACTCGGTATCTACTACCCATCCCCAATCAACAAAATTTCGTACCATCGGTTACAACATCTCTTTTTTATCCATTGTAAATAAATTGCATGAATTTCAATATATTCGTCTGCAAAGAGGGAAACGTCCCAACAACTTCAGTTTTTCTGTTTAAGTTTTCCAGTATTCACCATCTTGATAATTTGTAAACCTTTTATAATTGCACGTAAATATACATCATATTTATAGCTTTCCAGTCCACATAAATCTGAAACGGGAAGGTGAATTCTGATGCATGTACAACTTGGAAATAGGTGATCCAGACGTTTAAGCAATTAATATTGCTTTATAATAATCCTGTTTGGAGAGAATACATTCTTCAACTTAATCCATAGATTTTGACTTACACAGTTGACTGGATGGTGTAATGTTAGAAACTGTCTAGTGACTTAAAATATTAACCGTTTAGTGAAATTTTGCTGACTTGTACATTAAGGTATACTTTAGTGATTATTCAGAATACTTTTGAACATTTTATTTTCCCATTTATATTAATCAGGCTCACGCCAGTGTTAATAACCTCTATCATTGTTTGGTGTTCAGTTCAACAACTCCGTTAGCAGTTGGTTTACTACAATTACTACTATTAATAATCGGGTTACCTACACGACCTGTTGTTTTGCTAGATGTGCGATCAAATCTTCAACAAGGCGAATTAATTTGGCTGCCTGTGGAACCATTTCGATCAGTTATTTTTGGTTCAAGTGAAATTTTTGGTAATTTAAGCAAAACTGATAAGCACACTAACATTAATTTGTTACATTACAGTTCGGATTGGAATTTAGAACCAAGTCTTAGCATTGGTCAATTATTTTGGCTACTTTTCATTGTCATTCCATCTTTAACATTATCTTTAATTGATAGGCGAGTGGAAAGAAACCAACCGTTACGTGAGCCACCGATTAAGCGTAATAAACTATTTACTAAGAAGGTGAGTTTGTGCGATTATATATGTCTGAATGACCTTCCCTTAATTATCTAAATCTAATAATGGGTTCGATTTTTATTTGGAACACAATTGCTGATTATTTACTTGTGTGGATGTTCTGTGTGTATCTGAGCGTATACTTTCTTCTGTTAGTCGAAGTCTTAACTCACGGAAGAATAAATGTATTTAAACTACTATCTTTTTTAAATTTGTTTTTACTGTGCATCATTAGTGCCTAAAAGATTTACTTTACGGCCACTATGATCATTCCTGAATAGATTTATCTCTTAACATTGGTTACTATTCGTCTTCTACTGCTGTTTGGACAAACGGCTGATACCACAACTATGACACTTAGAGTGTGGCTCATCCCAAAGTACCTAGTGTATGAGTTAATTTGATTTTGATGGTTCTTTTACTTTTCTGAATTGATTGACTGGATTTCGCTGTAGGATTTTTACAATAAAACGAACATCATAGAGTCAGTCAGCTACAACGTAGGACCAGGCACATATATGCATCAGTCCAAGTTGCCATACCTCATTGACACAACAAGATGGACACCGGATTCATAAAAGTAGTTAATTCAGAGGTGGTAATATGTAAAAGAAAGATTGCAATAAGGATATAGTACAGGAACAAAGAATTAGTTCGTAGAAAGAAAGATATGAAGCGATTTTAATCTCTTAGTTTAAGGGAAGACAGAGAGTGTATACACCGACGCCATTGTGATCGATTCTGAGCCATGTCACCAAGAGTCTCCAACCATTGGTTACGATAGTCACGCGGACCCCAACCAAGTAGTCTGCATCTACCAACATGGCTCAGACTAGAAGTTAGTGACTTCAAGCACTGATGCCACGTTTTGGTTTGGCCGCCCCTAACTTTCTTCCAACCATCTCCAGCACCGGTTAGCATTGCACGTCGTGGTAATCGGTGTTCAGGCATACGTAACACGTGGCCCAACCATCTCAGTCGATGAAGATTCACAACCTCATCAACTGATTTACCATCATTCCCTAATACCCTGCGTCTAACCTCACTATTACTTACCCGGTGATCCCAGCAGACGCCAGCAATATTTCTAAGGCATCTGTGGTCAAATACTAGTAGCTTACGAGTGTCTTCTACTCTTAATGGCCATGTTTCGCTGCCGTAAATTAAAACAGAACGGACTGCCGCGCAGTATACTCGTCCTTTTATTGATAGACGGATATCTCGCCTTCGCCATAGGTGACGTAAGTTGGCAAAAGCCAAACGAGCTTTTCGAATCCGTGCTGAGATTTCGTCAGACACCAACCCATTAGGGCTGATCAGACTTCCAAGATAAGTGAAGTTGTCAACGCGTTCGACTACTTCACTCCCTATCCTTAGTTCAGGTGTTGACGCAGACCAGTCCTGAAGCAACAACTTGCATTTAGAGGGAGAGAAGCGCATTCCAAACATTCTGGCATTGTTGCTTAGTGCTACCAAAAGACTCTGCATTTTGTCAGCGTCTTCACCAAACAGGACTATGTCATCTGCGTATTCTAAGTCGATAAGTGGACCTCCTGGAAGGAGATCAATACCCGAGAATTCAGTCGACGAGAATGTTATTTCCATCAATAGGTCTATGATGAAGTTAAACAAAAATGGAGAAAGTGGACAGCCTTGACGGACACCACTTGAGGTTGCAAAAGCAGATGACAGTTCGCCATAAGCTCTGACTCGACTAGTAGTGTTCGAGTAAAGAGCCTTCACAAGGTTTATGTACTTCTGAGGTACGCCTTTCAATGACAGACACTGCCACAGAATCTCGCGGTCTACAGAGTCAAATGCTGCTTTTAAGTCAAGAAAGACCACCATTGTCGGACGCCGATAAGTATGCCTATGTTCTAGAACCTGACGAATGGTGAATATGTGGTCGATGCAGCCACGACCAGGTCTGAAGCCAGCTTGATTCTCTCGTGTTTGCAGTTCACGAGTCTTAGTTAGGCGTCTGATAATTATCGAGGCTAGTATTTTAGATACTATATTAGTTAAACTAATCCCTCTGTGGTTGTCACAGGATGATTTTGACCCTTTCTTATATATTGGGACGATAAGTGATTGTGACCAGTCAGATGGGATAACGTCTAACTCCCAGATCTTAGCTAAAATATTAGTCAACCTAATCGCTAAAATTGGACCACCATCCTTAAAGACCTCTGGAGCCAATCCATCTGGACCAGCTGCCCTTCCTCGTTTCAGATTAACTATAGCCTTTTGAACTTCTGCTAGAGTTGGGGGACCTACTTCAATGTTCCATTCACACTGTCTGGGAATGGAGGGTAGTTGTAGAGTAGCTGAAGGCCAGCTGAAATGTTCCGCCCATCGTTCTAAACGTCTGGACTGGGAGCAGATGAGAGTGTCGTCTCTTTCTGAAATAGTCTCACTTACACTTGACTTATTAATTCCAGTTTCTTTTATTAGTCTGTAAAGCTGTCTTGTGTTCCCTATAGTCGCCGCCTTTTCCATCTCTTTTGCTTTCGTTGCCCACCACTGCTCACGGTCGTTTCTTAGACTTTTCTTAACCTAGATCTGATTTGTTGTCGCTCTTCATCGTGTTCAGAGCCTGATGGGATGAGTTTACGAGAATCCATCAGTGCAATAGACCTTGAGGAAATCCATTGGTTCTTTGTAACCCTGTGGTTTAAATCACTGATAGATGTCACTGCTGTTTCCACAGCTGTTTGTATAGCTTTCCAAGCAACATCTGGGTCAACCTCGTTTTCAGAACTACCTAAGTGTTACCTCAGTTGTTCCTGGAACCTACTTTTGGTTTTCTCGCTACTCAATTCAGTTCTAACGGGTCTTTTTAATGTGGCTTTTTTGCGTCCAGTGAGGCGCAAGCAGATGCGTGCCCGTATTAGGGCGTGGTCGGAGTCCAAGCAGGTACTCCAGAATGAGCGACAATCTTCTACCGACCCTCTCCAACGATGACTGATGGCAATATGGTCTATTTGAGTCCATCGTTGGTTTGGTGTAGGGGGTCGCCATGTTAGACGATGTCTCTCCTTATGCTTAAAATTTGTGTTTGCTAAAAATAAACGATTGTCTGAGCACAGTTGCAGCAGACGATCACCATTATCTGTTCGTTGTGCCGGAATACTAAAATACCCACCTAAATGCCTTTCTGTTTGGTTTAAACTACCTATCTGGGCATTAAAGTCACCTGCTACGAGTACTATGTCTGGACGTTTAGCTTTCTGTAAAATTCATCTTTCACTTCATCTGAGCTGCAGTCGGTGGGAGCGTACGCAGAAACGACAAAAACGCAACGACGTGTGCCGAACAGCAAATAGATGACTGTTAACGGGGATCCATTCTAACATTGCTTGTTCCGTCCTCATGCTTAGTGCTATCCCTACTCCTGCCAGTCCACGAGAGCTGGCCGTCGGGTCACCAGATACACAGAGGGTGTATCTCGTTGGCTCTCCGTGTTGACGAGGTGAGGTCAGGTGAATGACCACACTGGGATCCTGTACGTGTGTTTCGGAGACACAGCATACATCAATGGTATGAGATTCTAGGGTTTTAGCCAAGCAAGCCTGCTGACCGATTTGACATAGGGTGCGTACGTTGAAGGCTCCAATGTGTAGTTTGGAGCGAGGTTTCAATAGACCTGGAACAGTGTTTTGTGCACTAGAATCGTTGGCTATGGTGACACTTGAGGGGGAAGCCGAAAAAAGAAGTTTAGAGTTTGAAGTCGATGTAGGAGGAATAATCGGAATTGAAAAGGGAGGTTGATTATGAATACAGTGGTCTTGAGTGCTGTTAGAGGTATGAGGGCGGTTATCACTTCCCGGTTGCCCACACCGTGGAAGGGTTCTTCTGGAGGTACCTGAAAAGGAATTTGGATTAGAAGTGCTCTTAGTGATCTGACAGCGTGACCCCAGTGCCCAAAGGACAACTGCTTGAGGTCGGCCACACACGACCTTTTTATGGGTAATTTTTGCGTTAGCTCCGTACTTTTTGGGGCCTTACCGCCGGAGACGGATATCCGTGGGATAAGGCGAGCTGTGCATTTTTAGGGTCGACCTTTTCTAACCCCACCCCTCCTTGTGGGAAGGAAGCATCGCTGTCATGTCTGAAGGAAACACCTTACTGCTGTCACACCTCTGTACAGTCAGCAGTACGACTTCGCCTTCGGACCTTGGGTTTGTTGCTTTTAGTCTTACCGCTCTTCAACCGACCTGTCTGAAACGGTAGGACCTTTAGGAACGGTTGTTCCAGCCAATATAGCTCGGTTGCTTCATCACGATAGGCAAGACCGACCACCACGTCAAGGTAGCAACAACGGTCGGGAGAGAGAGTTATTCTCAATTAATTTTATCTTTGAAATAAGCCTCAAATATATCATATTATTTAGTACATATGATTGCAACGCTTAGATCTTCATAATTTTACTAATAACTATCCTCCTATTTCACTCACTCATTACGTCTACATTTTCATTTGCCTCTATTCACAATACTCTTGCATCTTTGTTGATAGCTAGTAATCACGTCGATAAAAAAAGTCTCAAGTCTATTCAAACTGCCTACACAATTCTGTATATTGTATTTTTGACATTTTTCAGGCATTTTTTTCTAAACGTTCGCAAATTTTCTTTACTTTGGAAATATTAAGGCTATATTAAGTCTTATATGCTGCATCTGACTAAAAGTTCTTTTAAATAAGTCAGTATATGGAAATTTATATCTGTTCAGTCTAACACAACAGAATGTTTTTATTTATTTGGTTAGTAACTGACAGAGACACCATATGCAAAGACATATCATTAATTTAAACTAGACATCAATTGTCATTTTATCCATAAGGTACCACATAGTTTATATCATCAAGTAGATTTGATTTGGCAAACCTCCCAGTACTAGCCTGTTCAGTTATTAATTCTCGTGTATTTTTCCAATTATTTCTCTTAATCTGTTTCTTTTATTGATACATGAATTTTTTTCATCTGTTTGCGTGTTTTGTAAATTTAGAGATGCTTACGCTTTACTTTAGTGACTTGTTCTCGTTTCATACCGTCACTGTTAATTTGTCTATTTTGCGAAATTGGTCATCTTTTATGGGCTCAACAGCTTGAAGATTGTCACCAATCATTTCACAGTATTTATACAAATAAGTTTAATGGAACAAATACCCTAATTAACGATTCCAAGTCATATACTAAAACACTATCGTAAGTTGAAATTATGTATTTTATATTGTTCGATCTATTATCATTATTTTTTTAAATATGTTACACCATTTCATGCTTGTTTATTTCAGTTAAACTGATCATCCATTAGAGCTGTTTAGAAAATGAACGATTCTAAACTTGTAACCGAACGTTCTAAAACTATTCAATATGTAGTTACCAAACAGTTTCATGTATTTAATTTTTTCCTCATACAAGACACTTTCTCAACTACACGTACAGTCCCATAAAAACAAATCACTAGAATTAAACTGTTATCGAAACTGTGATAATCGTAGGATGACTTTAATTTTTTTTGGTCTCACTTCATTAATTTAACATAAATATTAATTGAATCAAAAATTAACTTCTAACATTCAATCAGCTATAGATGTCGATAATATTTTAGCATGATTTGCAAAATGTTTATAATCGATGTTTCAATCCTAAATTTAAGTATGTTCCACGAAGAGGAACTTATGAGAACAGATAAACCTTTTTCTAGGTCTTTTATAATGTCATAAATAGTTTATTAAAAAAATTAACATAGCATTCGTCTTATCTGCATTTGTACAAATCGGTGAGTTAACAAAATATCGTTGCCCTATAACCTGATAATCATATCTGAATATGTCCACACATTTTTTATCACTGAGTTGTCTCCTATTCAATGGATCACTAATAACTTGGTTCTCATGAGAGTTAACCCCGAGCAATGAAAAAGGAACCAGTTTTCGCTTAATTGCGTAACCAACATAATTTTATCGGACGAACTAAGCATACGACTTGTCCTCACATTCACAGATTATTGCTTCTACTTTATGGCGGCACAATAGATTCTTGATCAATTAAAATACTTTTTAACTTTTCAATAAAGGTAGCCTGTTCAAGATTTATATTAAACAACTGATAATTGGTACTACTTTCAAAAGTTTATACAATTGCTGAAAAGTTTCTCTGTGAAACCCTATATGCTTGTCAGTATAGTATAACTTCAGCAATTAAAAACAAAAAAGTAATTATTATTTTAAGTTGTTTGCAGAAGCCTATCTTTTTTGTGCTGTATGGCCATGTTCATTGAATTCAGTACTCTAACTAATATCAAGCTGTTTTCTCTCTCTCTCTCTCTCAACCCCAATTTCCTGCTTTCATCTTAAAAAGTAGTAATTTTTTCCCTTCAAGATGTTTAACGAAAAATTTAATGTTGATATGATTATCAAATAATTTTAAACTGTAAAACCCTGAACAATAATCAATTTCAAGTAATACTAGGTCAGTTCATTAAGAAAAGAACATCACTGACTAGTTATATATATATATATATATATATATATATATATTTTTTATCCTGTTCTCAGATCATCTTATGCCCTTCAAGAATCATGTCTATCCAAATTGTCTATATTGATATACAGTTTAAAGGATTAATCTTCTATCAGCTAATCATGTACCTAAGTATGTGAAGTGGGTTTAGTTGCTTTTTAATTTTATGATTTATATTTTCTAATAACATGTATATGCATCGTATTGTTATTATTATTACCATTGTTACTAATGATGTCATCGTAAATAGCTGCAATGTAGCACATGAATATTTTGTAGACAATATTGTCATAGACAGCTATTATGAAAGATGTTTAACCTTTTTTTGGTGGAGTTTTGTTCTCTGAGCTGGATGGTTTGGTCGTGGAGCTTTCATCGTTCTTCTGAACGACATCGCCAGGCTTCTAGAAATTCTCTGGTGTTTCTGGAGTTTCCTCTGTCTAAGATTTCCAAAAACACCAGAGAATTTCTAGAAGCCTGGCACTCAGATCAATCAGCAATCAACAAACATATTGAAATCAATCCAATTTATCAACCAATCAGGGAAATCATGCATAAATATAGGAACAAAAATCAAACCAATGGGAGACACAACCAAAACAAAGATGTAAACAATGGTAAATTTAAGGTCAACAAGAACCAATCAACATCGAGGTGCACAGAACAAGCTGTGAAACACATATGGAGAAATTCGAACACTTCACTTCTATCTGAAGTTTGTGCTGATGATGTCGTTCATAAGAACGATGAAAGCTCCACGACCAAACCATCCAGCTCAGAGAACAAAACTCCACCAAAACCATCCACCTGAGCTACAAATCTTCATGTTTAACCTATATACTCTGGTTTTAAGTTCGATTTTTTCTTCAATTCATTACTGATCTTCAAAAATGCGTATGTGTGATACTATGGGTAAAAGTATAGTCTCATTGATTACGTAGTGATCATTTTTAATTAGTGGTTATCTTTTGCTAAGTCACAGTCATATTATCTCTGGTGAATATGCTGTATTTAAGTTACATTCTCTAACACATTCAACCCGTTGATTAGTCGGTTCTGTTTTGTGATTTCTATTTAAATGGAATTTAATGGTTGTGTCAGTCAGAAAAACATCTGCTTGGTCACTTGAACAATCCTAATAGTCGTCTTTTGGTCATTTGTGCCATCATAATAATTTGTATGCGTGCAAACTCAGTTAAAAGGTTATTTATATTTTGAATTCACGAGTCAGTTAGTGTGTTACTGATTGAAATCCATTTATCGAAACATGTAGCACAGTTGTTAGTGTTTAATAAAATACAAGCAAGTCTGGACTTATGTTGCACATTTGTAGGAAACGTGACCCGAGTCTTATATTTCACATAAGCACTAGTCTATGTTGTTCATTAATTTAAAACGAGTAAAGAGCATTCCTTAACTCACCTATCAATAGTTGATACTCATTACCTTAATGTACTAATAATATTATAATGATAACGACTTGAGACGATCCATGCTGATTCACTCATTGTTCAACACTGTAGTTAGACATGGTGCTTACAGTATTTGTAAGATACATCTATGCAGTTTGGAGATAAAAAGACCACTTTGTCTGTCACTGAGCTACCAGGTTATGTAATATTAACTCACCTTAATGTAAATGTCATATATTTAGATGGTGGTTGGAGGTAGTCATATATAGTTTATTTCTAACCACCTAAATTACACATTGTTGGTTGATTTTAATAATATAGAAAATGTATATTACGTTCTGAATCAATGAGGTAGTCCTCAATTCGTCCCTCTCATTATTCTTTGCTTATTAATTACATCTAGTCATTGTAAGAAGCCATTTGCCTAATTCATTTTTTTTATTTGTTTCCAGTTGTTATATCATTTTCTTATGCCAATTATGGTCAAAGAGTATGGAAATTCCGGTATTCTACAAATCCTTCTTGGTGCATTGTCTCTAGTCTAATGTGGGTTACTTATTATTAAATGACTCTTTCTGTTCATTTTTGTATCTTTTTTCAACGCTTTTGAGTACTGGGAGGACTTCCAGGCAAAAGACTTTTGATCCAATATCTTTCTTTTTACCCAGTTTTCCCATTCTGTTACCCTGAACCCAAAAATGTTGAATCGTAACTATGTTTATGCTTCTAAAGTTGTGGAAATACTTTAACTTAGCGGACAATGATATTCCTTCATATATTAGCTATTATTTTGTCTGTTCATTTGAACACAGATTTGGTGGTGACCAGTTAATTCTTTGGTCATCATACTCACTGATTGTAGTTTTATCATGATGGAGAACTCAAACTATTTATATATCGCACTTCTCGGCCGTTAGTTATAGTACATTTTCCTTTGTATTATAACTATACACAACAAACAAACGTCGTTTGTGTTTTTCGATCCAAAAGATGACAATCAGGTAACTTGAAGATAATGAGGTCAAACAATGAAACCTTAAAACTTAATCGAAAGTTAATTCTCAGTAGTTAAATATCATAAATGTAAACAGTTCATTTACCAGTTCCTTTATAGTCTTATGTGAAACCTCCACTGTACTTTAACTACTTATCTTGTCGGTATAAGCATAATGAAATTATGTAAGCATAAAGACTTTTTTTTTCTAATTGGCTCAGATTCTGGTAATAAAAATAACTAGTTCATAAAAATTCTAGCAATTTTTAAATATAATAAAGCATATTTATTAAGTTTCCTGCTTACATTAAGAGCCTTACTTGTTTTATAGTATGTTAACATTGTTATTTAGCCAAATCTCTGTCTTTTTTATCTATTTGTAAAAAATCCTTTCACACCATAAAAACAATAGAAATAAACACATCTCTTCTTTCGTCCTGGATAGTCGCTGGGTAATAAACATTCTCATGCTCATTTCTAACCCTTGGTTCTATCGATAAGCTGCAATGTCACTAGTAGTTTAAATGACACCTCATCGTCCGCACTAGGTTTTTATGATTAGCGACTGGACGTGATCGGCTGCAAGCACTGGATCTATTTCTCGTTACAACTGTGCTGTTTAGTCGATTCGATCTATATGGTTTACAGACTTCTTTCGAAAGCCTTCAACAAAGTAGCATCACAAATACTTCTTATGTCGCACTATTTTCACATTAATTATATTACGGAACTTCTAGAATATGATAAAAAACTACTCATCTTTAACATGTGTTTGAATTGCATACATGTTTTATTCGTTCTTCATTTTATTTGTCGAACTTAGTTAAAAGGCTTTATGTTTTAATACAAGTGTGTTTTTCTTGTTTTTTTTTATCCTTCAGATGCATTCTTCATTCGGTTTATATGATCATTCGCTTGTGCGTCGTTAATTCTTCTTTAAGATTAACAAGTTGGCACATTTTATCTCCATTCATATCGGCATTTGGTTTTATCTGGTGCATTTTGCTATTTTTTATTAATGACTTTATATCATGGAGAGAAAATCGGTACGCATAACTGCATTACTGTCATTTAGTTTTTTTTATTTAAAATTAGAGACAACATATTCAGCATAGATAATGTGAAGTGGTTGACAACAATCGTAGCTGTATACGCTATGTAGATGAGATGATTTTGTAGCCTTTTATTGGAATAATTTATAAACTAAGGTTGTTGAACTTGAAACCATATATTTCACTTCTATAAAAACGACTCAGTTATTGCTAACATGCGTTTACTATCTGCTTCATCTACTTCCTGTCTTCACCAGTTGGAAATTTTTATCTAACCTTTTACACATACATTTACGAAATCAATAGATTGAATGACTTTTATTAAAAATTCTGATATGCAAGTGTATAGAAATCATACAATAATCACATAACATTTTTTGTCGAAGTCTATTATTGATGTTTATCAGGAGAAAGTCTGGTTCAACATTGTGATTCAGAGTAAAATGACGTTAAAAATGCTGCTTACTTCAGTTACAAAAGGGTTTCATGAGTGCATATAGCTAGACAGAATAGCTGTTTGGTATTTCGTCTTTACAAATTGTTGTGTGATTAATACCAGCCTAAAAGTCAAATAATCTATTAGTAAATTTAGTACGAATTCTTATTAGAGATTTAGTTGAAAAATATAAACCGTTCCAGTCAGTTACAACAAATATTACACTCCTCTAATTGTCTTTTGACTTGTGATCTGTATTAGATGACACCAAACAATATCCAGTTACGTGAACAACATCTTTCCAGTTCAGTTTCATCGTTACAGTCAAACTCAATCTTCGTTTTCCCCCTTTACATTTATTTCATCCTGTAGACATTTTTCTCACCCTCATTTGTTAAGAAGCAAATCAAGCCGAGAAATGCTTTGCTAATTTACTATTATTAATTTTTAATGCTAAATTAATTATCATTCTATAATCAGTGTTAAACTGACTCTTATTTATCCCCTTCATTTATGCTTTTCATAGAGCTATTATGACAGAGCATCGCTTGTCTAGACTTTACTTCAATACAAAGTTGGGTATGTATTCACCGGTTTAAATCCACTGAATTCTCGTCATCTCTCGAATAAAAGGAAATTTTTCAATGGTTTTCCTTCCTTTTATTTTTTTATTTTATAGTTGTGCCAATAAACTTATGATTCATAATTAAACTTTAACTTTTACACTGTAATCAATGCACGCCTGACCGCAGCTACTACCTTGACGTGCTGGTCGGGCTTACCTATCGTGATGACCCAACCGAGCTATATTGGCTGGAACATATGTTCCTGCAGGTTCTACCATACCAGGCAGGTCGATTGGAGAACGGTAAGACTAAAAGCAGCGACTCAAGGTCTGAGGGCGAAGTCGTACTGCTGACTGTAGAGGGGTGTGACAGCAGTAAGGTGTTTCCTTCAGACAACCAGCATGACAGCGATGTTGCCTTCCCACAAGGAGGTGTGGGGTCACAAAAGGTCGACCGTAAAAATGTCACACCTCACCTTACCTCACGGATTTCCGTCTCCGGCGGTAAGGCCCTTTGAAGAACGGAGCTAACACATTAAAAACCTCCCACGAAAAGGCAGTGCGCGACCGGCCTTAAGCAGTTGTCCCTTGGGCTCTGCGGTCACGCTCTCAGGTCGTTAAGACCAACACTAATCCAATTTCCTTTCAGGTTCTCAAGAAATACCCTTCCACGGTGTGGGCAGCCGGGAAGTGACATCAGCCCTCATACCCGTAACAGCATACGAGACCAAGTTGGTCACATTCAAATCCTTCCTACACCTCCTAATACCTCTCTTATCTCCATGACTAACCCTCCTCACATCCCTTTATCACCTCGCACTGCTAGTGCAAACGATTCGAGTACGCGGAACGTTATTCCTGGTATCCTGAAACCACGCTCTAAACTACATGTAGGAGCTTTTAACGTCCGAACACTGAGCCAAATAGGACAGCAGACTTCCTTAGCTAGGACTCTAGAATCTCGCGCCATCGATGTGTGCTGCGTCTCCGAAACGCGCATACAGGATCCGAGTAGCGTCATTCATTTGACATCACCATGTCCAAATAAATAACCAACTCGATTCACGCTTCGTGTATCTGGACGCAAGATGCTGCTTCTCGTGGCCTCGCCGGCATAGGTATAGCATTGAGTCCTAGGGCAGAACTAGCTCTCTTAGACTGGATCCCAGTAGACAGTCGTTTGTGCGCTATCCGACTAAACGGAACAGTTAGGACTCGGAAAGACAAGGACACTAGTCGTTGCCTTTTCGTCGTCTCTGTCAATTTTCCCACTGACTGCAGCTCAGATGATGTAAAAGATGAGTTTTCGGAAAGCTTTCCGACCTAAGAAAAGCTAGGCGTTCTGATGTAGTGATAGCGGCTGGTGACTTTAATGCTCAAGCTGATAAGAAGCCTACGCAATGATCTCAACAGTGGTGGGTTGCGAAAGCAAGAGAGATGGAAAAGGCGGCGGTAATAGCTAATAGCAGACAATTGTTCAGACTTGTTAAGGAAACCAGTATTGGGAAACCGACTTTTAGCGAAACAATCTCAGAGGAAGATGGACATATTATACATTCTCAATCCAGTAGATTGGATCGATGGGCAGAACACTTTAGGGATCGGTTGAACTGGCCTTCAGCTGCCACACTTCGGTCCGTCTACCAACCAAACGACGTGTTTACTGCGCGGCAGTTCGTTCCGTCCTACTTTTTGGCAGTGAAACGTGGCCGTTAGGAGAAGAGGATATTCGTACGTTACTAGTATTCGATCATAGATGTCTTCGAAACATTGCTCGTATATCGTGGGACCATCGAGTAAGTAACACAGTTGTTATTAAACGGGTACTAGGTAAGGATGGCGAATCAGTTGATGAAATAGTGAAACTTCATCAGTTGACATGGCTGGGACACGTGTTACGTATGCCTGACGACCGACTACCTCGACGTGCTATGTTCAGTGGTATAGGAGTAGGTTGGAAGAAAGCTAGAGGCGGCCAGACCAAAACATGGTACAAATCCATGAAGTCACTGACAAGTGGACTGAGCCATGTTGGTATGTGTAGACTACCTGGTTGGGGACCGCGAAATGATGGTCACCGATGGTTAGAGACCCTGAATGACATGGCTCAAAATCGTTTGCAATGGCGCAGGTGGATCCACTCTTTGTGTTCTCCCAAATTCTAATGTTCTGACTTCTCCCTGTCTCTTTTTTCTCTTCCCAAATTTATTTCGCTAGATTATACTGACTGAATAACATCTTCAAACCTTAATCTTTCCGATTACTGCTTATACTCTTACTAGTTGTGTTGTAATGAAAGTAAAGTATGATTTGCCGTTGAGCGTGCACAAAATGCCGCAGCTTATGGACTATTAAATGTGTTAATTTCCATTTTTATCATTGATTTCTACTCTGGACTCATTGTGAGTGCGTGCTTTTAATTGTATTCACTAAAGTATTCTTTGGTGTTAATCTGGTTCTCCATTTTGGGCCGCAAATCCTGATCCTGATATAACGTGATTAGCCTTATTAACATATCATCGTAATATATGTGTAGAGAAAAAATAATTGTAAGCTATCCGTTGTATTATGAGTCATGGCTACATTCATTGAGGTGGGAATAAACTGAACATAAAGACATTAGGATCGATAGGTAGAATCGTATTTTATAAAGACGAATGGTCTTGGAGTTACTTATTTTATGTCTTCAAAATGAGTAATACCTAAGGCATATCCTCTAGAAGGCAAAACATATGAGTATTTGAAATGATTTTACGTTAACAAGCTCTTTCCCAAATCTGAACTTAAATCTCAACTCGAAAGTCCGAGATCAATATTCTTTACTAAGAAATAGCTTGTCGTAATAAGTAACAGAAAACATTCGACAGAGAAGTCGATCATGTTACTTTTCCTGGACACTATTAGGTGAAGACGGTCAGTCAGGTATCTACCAGGTTGCTCCAGCTTGCTAAAGAATGCGTCCATTACTCAAACATGATGGTTTGAAGTCGCACTTCGCGATACTTTCGCAGGTAAACCAAATATGTCTTCCAACTTAGTCAACGTTGATTCAGACGATTTTTTGTAGGGTATTTTAACAGTGTTGTTCCAGCCTGACCTACACGAATCATTTCAAGACCATTATATCTGGAGCTTTCATCTCAAAATAGAGAGTAACGTGCCAAATAAGGGGTTTTCTGAATTTAAAAGACGTATTGTAGTCAAAGATAACAAGGCTTTGCGCCTACATTATGTTCGTGTTGAAGTTTCGATTGACGTCTTTTATTTTGTAGAGTTGACGACATGGGTTTTGCATATGGTATTGTAGAGTCAAATAATCACTTACCATTGGATGAATTATTCATCAAGCTGACTAGACGCATTTGTCTTTAGAAGACTGATCGCAGTGGCTTGATTATAGGTGAAAAATGCGATGAATCATTCATCGACAAGGTATTAGCATGTGAGACAATGATGCTACACAAACGTAACCGGTGATGCCGAAAGCAGCCAGATGAAAGCCAGTTCAACTACTTGTCGGATATGAACTCGCTCAAAAAAACTTGAATGTTAGTGCCAATAAATAAATCAGAGAAGCACTATGTGTTCGTGGCTTATCATCACTCCAAGAAATAATGATGTCCAAAAAATAGTTTACAGATTTCGAAAATGTTTGTTCTGTCTACTTTGAACGAGTATATAATGAAGTAACAGATGTGAACGTAACAAATGTAGGTTTCAGACTCTCGCGTCATATATTTGACTTAAGAAAAATATTATTCAGTACATCTAACTGAAACAAATAAATAAAAAACATAGATAATCCACAAGTGCTTGAATTTCTGATTTTTGCAGTAAATCACTATTCAACTTTAGCTTCTAATATGGGAATCCCACCGTTAATCAACTTTTTAACTTGCAACACAATTAAGTGTTCTCATACATCCTGGTAAAAAGTAATTAAAATAAAAGAAAATGTTTGGTTCTGTCAGACTGCTCATCGAATGTTAGTTCAATTCACACTTGTTATTGCTGACAATTTTTCTAACCTCGAACAAACACTTGGTATCAGGTGTGAGCAACAGCAAGAATATTTCTCTGTGTTCAGAAAAAAACCTGAGACAATCTGTGGTGTTTGTATGACCTAATGATTCCTTTGTACTTGATGGCTGCTTGTTTTCGAATCCCAAATACAATACGTCGTTCGTGCTGTAGCGGTAAATCAATCCCCAAAATAAATAGCTCTGTAAGTTTTCGACATTGGATGCTGACCATATGTTTTAATAGACTCACCTAGCTGAAAGCGCTCGGTCATGCATCCGCACCAGATCACGTGTGGGAACGCTGTGCTCAACATCTACTGCAACAAATATGTCTTCCGATCTCCTCGATTCTGTCTTTTGATTTCTCTTGGTGGGTACGCTTCATATAGAAGGTGTTACTGGTTAAAGCGTTGTCATACACTGAACACCTGTGCCATGTTCAATGCTCATATAGTTCTTTTTGGTTGAATTACATTATTTCTGGGATTCCTAGTTTGTACAATGATTCAAATACTTTTAATTATCACACAATCCGCACTTCTAACGCATTAACCCATGTATCAGAAAAATATGACCTAACTCGACTAGCAAAATTAAGAAAACAGTTTAACAAGCTCAAAATATTTTGGCGTTTAAGTAACGACTGTGTTTACAGTGCGAAGAACAGTTAGAGATAACAATCCCATTATTACTGTATCACGTACTATCAGCGTTTACTTGCAAGCGGGAGCGATCGGAAACACAACACAACAGTCAGGACCGATAAATGACACTGAAGTAAGAACACAGTGTACTGGCACAACAAAGATATATTTAAAAATTGAAAGACGCGGTTCGAGTACAAAGAGGGAAGCTTATTACAAGATGGATTTATCCATTGTTCTGTAGGTTCAGCTCGCCCAAGGCTTGTTCCTCCTCTTCTAGTACATTTACTTTTCATTGCCCTGCAATCAAGAAAACAAACACATTAGTAACGTCACAAGTAATGGTTTTTGATACCGTTACATTATTT